GAGTATTGAAGTAATTCCTAAGTTCTTTTATGCAAATTTTAAGGGAATTGAAAGAAATTAGCTCCATTTACAAATGGTTGTTAAAATATAACTTCAACGATATTGCAAAAATCACTGTCAAGCCTGTTTTTTTTTGTAACTACAGTGAACTCAATCATAGTGGATTTAAAAATCCTGTTTAAGAATAGAAGAAGCCACTTGATCATCTACCAAAAGACATCAAATTCCACTCTGCTGGTCATGTGCAGAAATCAATAACACCCTTTACTGCAGCATATTTTCTGCTAAGACCCAAGTCTTGTGCCAAATGCACCAGGAGAAGCAACACATTCCCTTGGGTAGAATAACTCCAGCTGCTAATTAACTCTTGCCTGTCTTCAGATTACACCTATTTGCTTACTTTTTGTTTCCTTTATTCAATTTCTCTCTTCTGCTTATATAATTCTATAAAAGGTAGAATTATACTTTAACAGATGTATTCTCCATGTATTAAAAAAAGATAGGATCTTTAAGCAAACCACTTCTGTCTTATTTTTTATCAACTATGTTAATAGAGCCCTGATGGTGCCTTTATAAGGACTTCACTGCCAACCTCAAAATACTAATTCTTCTCTGCTCACTTTCTGAATTCTCAATTTGTCCCTAAAGTCATTCAAACTTAAAAATATGGACAAAAAGGTTGTACTAGTATTGTAGCATCAGTCTCATCAATTTTGAATGGATAGTCAAAATGACCTCTTCACATCATTTTGTACATTCAGCTCAAATATAAATCACCTTAGCTGTCTTAAAGTACTTCTCAACCAGGATCAGCAGATAAGTCAGTCAGTGTTTTCCAGGATATTACTCCCCATCACACAGACATGCCTAGCATTTGGCTTAATTAAAATATCCTTTATTTAAAATGGATTCAGCTTTTCAAGTGATCTAACTCAGTCCTTAGGACTGGTCTCACTTATCACCTTTTAGCAGCTGTTTTTCATCAGCAAGGTTATTTTACTTCAGCATCAGTCAGGAAGATAATTAAAAGGCAGATTTGAAACTCAGGTGAAATTCACAAAAGCTCTTCATTTTGATATTCACTATTAACAACTGCTTTTTGTCAGCTACAATTTCTTAGTGAATTAGCTTTTAGCTGAGCTTTATGAGTACTGTACATTGTTGGTCTCACCAATCCTAAAAGGAGCAACATCACATTTGGCCCAATATGGTTCAAAATGGCCAACACCTGCTGCTTCAGAGAAAGGGTTAAACAACATTAAAAGGTAGATATGCATCAACCTGCTTCCATACCTGCACTTTCAGAGGCTAACTTATCCAAGAAATCCAGAGGCATATAAGTCTTAATACCAATACTGTTACTATAGCTGTTCATATTATATGTCCATTAATAACCATTCTTTGGCTTTTTAAAATGTATTGCAATACTCTTAGTCTCTGCAACATTATATGGCAGGAAAATCCAAATGTTACATATTACTGTGTGCAAAAATACAATGAATCAATTTTGAATTTTCTACAGTTTAGTTTCATTTTTCCTCCAGGGTTCCAACTGTAGTTTACTGCCAGAAGGGACTAGATCCAAAGCTGGTATGTCCCAGAAATTTCTAAGACAATAAATACTACAAAATTCAATAATTTGGCTCTCTAGCAAAACATCTGAGTATCTTAATTCAGCAATATTGGTCCCTGAATGAGCCAACGAGACCACTCACTAACCTATTACCTGCTTTTGCATATGTTCAGATTATTTTGTCATTTATCCATGGATAGCTACTCACCTCTTGGACTTGCTCTTAGCTCCCCTGATTATTTCTGTATATATACTGCCTGCTGTGGATTATGATAATTTTATTGGCCTCCATAGAGTTGACTTCTCCATTTCTCTAGGCTATTTGGCTTCAATGGTCTTGTCAAACAGTCATTGCAAGCTCAGTCTAACCATTTTTCTGCATGCTCTGTATACATCTACAAAACAATAATTACTGTGTGTTCCAACTGTGTATAAATTAATAATGCATGACTGTACTATAATATATCCATGTACTATGTCTGCACACACAGTAATCTCTGACTTAGAAAAAATTCTAACTGTTTTCACAAAAAGGTGAATTTTACCCTAAGGTTTTTTCATTGGAATAAGACTAAAATTTTTGAGAAAACCTTTCACAATGGAAACAAACTACTATATATTACAGTGTGCTTTGCATCTTTAAAATTACCAATGTTAAAACTGTTACAATTAATTTCATTAATGGACTGCTAATTAACTATAACATTTTCATTTAAAAATACACAAATAATTCTGAGTTTATTTTCCATTATTTTCATTGCTGACCTTAAGCAGCAGCCAAGCACCAAACAGTTGCTCGCCCATACTCCCCCTCCTCCAGCAGGATGGGGAAGAGAGCAGGAAAAGAGAAAGCAAGAAAAATTGTTGGTCAGGACACAGGCAATTTCAGCAGTAAAGGAAAAAGACAGAAAAATAAACCCCAAACAAACAAACCAACTAAAACCCAAAAAAATCCAACCCAGATAATGCAAAGGCAATCACTCACCACCTCCTGCAAGTAGACATGTTCAGCCACTGGTAGCAACAGCTACCTCCTCAAAAAAGCTTTTGTTGCCAAGAATGGCACTCTGCAACATTAAATAACTGTCTGGTGAGTTTAGCTCCTCTGTCCATCCCATGTACCCTCACACCCTCTATCTCATTCTCAGCTTACTCATAGCAGGGACATGGGAGAAGAGAGAGCCTTGGCACCACTCAGTGATAGACAAAACACTGGCATGTTATCAATACTGTTTCAGTCATAAATCCAAAACACTGCATCACAGAGGCTGCTATGAAGAAATTTAACTCAATTCCAATCAGACACAGTACACTAAGACACTGTAAAATTTAACTAGAAATTATCTCTGCTCTGACTTCAGTGAGGTACTGTCATATTTTGCTGAAATAATGTCTCTTGTGTGTTTTTGGCATTGGTGGTCAGCCTAAATCGAGTACTGATTTTCTGCAATTTCATTTAAGAGACACACACCTCTCTGCTAAGCCACCTAGTCCAGGAGACATTAGACAATATTTTGATTTCTGCACAATCCTGCACCTCAAGAGCTCAGCAGCATTAAAGGATAGCCAACACCCCTGCTTGAGCTCAGATCTGTGCTTTGTGAAAGCATCTCCCTAGTCTAAATTCTTTTACAAATCAAATAGCAGCATCCTGTGATCCCCTCAATAATCCCAGCTGCTTGCTCTAAGGGGTTTTGAAAATTCATTTGACTACTCTGACAAAAGCAAGTTTGACTGCCTTTGAACCTGCTTTCAAAGACAAAGTTATACAAGTCAAGCTATTGCCCATGGAGTATTCTGGTTAACATTGACAATGATGGATACCTTTCATGACCATTTCCCAGATCCCTTATGCATACATTTCACAACTGTCCTTAATGATGAATGACAGTCATATGCAATGAGTGACAATTTTCCAGTACTCTCATCCCCAAAGAAATGGCATTATCATCACATATTCTTGCTATAATTTATCAGGGTGAAAAAATACAGAGTCTCTGATTACTCAAATCTTTATTAATGTAATAACTTAAACAAATACTTCTTCATACATTTTGAGATGCAGATAGGAAAGTATATCAAGTTCTTCAGTAGAATATACTGTCTTCATTACTTTCTAAACTGTAAATCTTCCTCTTTAATGAAAATGCAATGTGGAGAAGACAGATTGTTATTATTTGAAACTAGTTCAGCTGTCCTAGCTGAGTCTTGAATAAATAAATTGACTGTTATAAAATAAGGGATATTCAAAACTGTGTTTTGAATAGAGAGCTCATTCTCACCACTGACAAAAGTGGCAATTTTATTTGCTTAGTGAGGTTATTTTAGTTTTATACACTTACATCTTTGCTGATTCAAGATGGAATACCCCAGCAAACACACCCTCTGGAAAAAGTCATCTATTCAAGCTTGCACTTTGTGAAAAAAGGTCTCACCTTAGACCACCATTGTTGGCAATGATTACTTATTACTGGCAGATTCAATTGAATTTATCTTAACAAATAAAGAAAGCTTGGCTGAAAATTGTTATTTCTGTTACAGTAACATTAAGGGTCTACAGATCAGGACTCCCCTGTGCCTGTACTTTATAAAAACATAATGAAAAGTATTGCACATAGAACAAAGTGCTTGACATCTAACCATAGAAAACTATAATCTAAATGTCAATCTTCAAACAGAAACAGGGTAAGTATACAAGCATGAAAATCCCAGAATCAATGTGAAAACATTCATCAACTTGATGGGCACTGACATGAGTCTTGGGTTTTGTAATGACATCACCTTATGATCATTAGTGATCATTAGTGATTCTTCTTATGAAGAGATTTTTTAAAAGAGAAAAATCTTCCTGCATTTTCAGAAGCATTTGGAAGGACCTCCTCCCAGGCTTGCAGGGCAAAAAAAGAGAAAGCATGAAGGGTTTTTCTTACAGCAAGGTGTAAAGGAACCTAAAATAACGTCACTTAAGAAAACGAATTATCTCTTACTCCGAGGGGAACCAGCTCTTTTTTTTCTTCTTTTGAATTGTATGTGTATGAACATGAATGTACTTTTCTTAGAGTATAGAGATTTTATATCTGTGGTATATGTCTGTAATATTTATCCATTTTCAGTATGAGACAAAGAGGATAATTAGTTTCCAGGGACTGGTACAAAGCAGTAAGTCAATGCCGCTGCAGTGAGAGAATGCATGTGTACATGCATGGGTGGGAAGATGACTCTGAAGGGATAGAGGTAAATCACAGCAGACATATAAAAACTACTTCCCAACGCAGACACACAAAAAAGAAATTACCAGATGGTAGCAAGAAGTCTTCTCCATTTGCTTGCGCATTCCTTACTTTTGGGAACTTCGTGCATGCTTACATTTGTGTTTTTGATCTTTATAAATCTAGTTGCTTCAGAAAGCACATAATTTTGTACTTACAGGCTGATTCAGCACCATTTGTATGGTCCAGGTGTGCTGCCTGTGGAACACAGGGCACCTTCTCTGAGTCCTGCAGCAGCTTCAGGAAAACCTTTCATGAAAGTAGAAAAAAGTACTTTAGAATCAATTTTCTAAAACTATTGTGTGTGTATATATATATATATATATATATATATGTATACACACACACATATATATATCCTAAACCATCCAGACAGCCAGAAATTACGACTGACTGCTGTAAACACCTTGCTGGAATATGACTATAAAATTAGTCAAGCTCTCCAGTTAAAATCTTGGGGGATAAAGGAAATGACATACATGTCAATAGATGCAAAAACACCCATGTAAATATTGCTGACCCATGAGCACTACCATCTGCGAAGATTTTTCAATAGACTTTTTGCCCTTGATTGACTTTTTATGCCCCTAAGACTTGGTATGTGCTGGAACTCAGTTACAGCAGTTTCTACCAAGGAAACAGCTTAACTCTCTTCTGATGCTCCAGCTAGAAATCTATGGACACAACTAGAACTAAACCTAATGTACAAAAGCCTACACAGCTGAGAAGCTACAGATTTCAGGGAATTCACAGTGTCCAGGGACACTCAGAAAACGTTCCTAGATATGTGCAAGGACATGGACAATAATGTTATTGAAAGACATGTAAAGGACAAGGCAACCGTCAGAGACAGCCAAGGTGAACAAAGTCTCATAAAGTCATACTGCAGAGGAGACTGGGCAACAATGTGTATTTTGTAGCAAAACATTAGTGTGCATGCCCCAAATTGGATAGAGATTATAGGATTCTGTTACCTAAAATCACCATGAGAAAAACTGCAATTCCTTTTCTATAAAAGCAACAATCTAAAAATATGCACTAGCTTGAAATTGAAAGGATTGCTTTTCCTAAAGTAGGAGAATGCATGTCAGAAGGGACTTATAGTTAAAATTATAAAAACCCAGCAGAATTCACCAACTTCATAATCATGAGATCTATTTAAATGGTATATACACTTTCCCTAACAGATATGTGTGCAACCTACTATTTCTTCCTTAAACCTGTTTCACAGTTCTGTCCACATAAAGCCCTTTGAATTTCACAGACATGCATTTCATTTTTCCATACCTCAGCCTTGCAGAAGCTTTCATAGTGAGCCTTATTCACACTCCCCGCTTCTTGTAAGCTCAAACTAAAAACACAATCAACATTTTCTTATCTTAACCTGAACTGCAATTTAAATAGTGATCTAAGAACCTCAAGTAAAAAGAAAAAAAAAGAAAAATTTACAGAAAATACAGGTACCGTGAGCATCTCAAATTAAACAGAAAAAGAACAACAAAATTTTTTCTTTGTCTTGATGAAAGTTTTCTTTTGCACTTTCCTCTCTGTTTGGGTTGAGCTGCAAGACAGATTATACCCACGGTGCAACTTTCAGAAATCATTAAGAAACCATTTATTTCTTCCCACAAAAGAATCTGATCTCAGCTATAACAAAAAATTCCTTGTTTCCAAGGAGCTCATACAATAGACAATAAAACCCAGTCAATGTGAAGTACTTTATAGCTCCTGAAAGACATTTCTTGACTTTCTAAGGTCTGACTGTTACAAAAACCATATTTTGCTTAGTCAATATAATTGCCATTTAACAGTGGTTATTGATTGCATTTGTTACCTGCCAGCTTTCAGGGAACAACTTTGGCTATTACCAACTGCTAGGCCAGAAATTTCTGGCCTGATATTTCTGTATTAGCCCCTGGAGGCAGATCCTGACAGTCTAAAGCTGCATTCTAATTTGTTTTCTTGGACCTGCTTGCTGATGGCTATGAACACCAATTCTGTCAAGCAAACCAAACTAAACTGCAACAACTGAATCATAGAATCACTGAATGCCCTGAGTTTGAAGGGACATTTAAGATCGTCTATTTTCAACCCCTCTGCCATGGACAGGAACATATTCCATTGGACAAGATTCCTCAGAAATACATGCAGCTTAGTCTTGAACAGTTCCAAGGATGGGACATCCAGAGCTTCTCTGGACAACCCAATACACCACCTCACCACCTTCACAAAATAGAATTTCTTCCTAATGTCTAATTTAAACCTACTCTCCCTTGTCCTGTCACTGCATGCTCTTGTGAAAAGTGCCTCTCTGTCTCATAGGCTCCCTTCAGGTACAGAGGGTCACAATTAAATCACCTCAAAGCCCTCTCCTCTCCCAGCTGAACAATCTTAACTCTTTCAGCCCTTCCTCATGGGAGAGCTTCTCCATCCATCTATCCACCTTGATGGTCTCCTCTGGACTCGCTCCAACAGGTCCCTGTCCCTCATGTACTGGGGACCCCAGAGCTGGGTGCAGCCCTGCAGGTGGGGTCTCACCAGGGCAGAGCAGAGGGGCAGAATCCCCTCCCTCACCCTGATGGCCACGCTGCTTTGGATGCAGCCCAGGACACATTTGGCTCTCTGGGCTGTGAGTGCCCATGGCTGGGTCATGTCCAGTCTCTCATCCACTGGCACTCTGAAATCCTTCTGGGCAGGGCTGCTCTGACCTGTTCATCCCCAGCCTGTGCTGATACTGGGGGCTGCCCGACCCAGGGGCAGCACCTTGAACTTGGTCTTGTTAAACCTCAAGACATTCCCACAAGCCCAATTCTTGATCCTGCCTAGCTCCCTCCAGATGGCATCCTGTCCTTCAGGTGTGTCAACCACTTGGTGAAAACACAAAGTAACTACACATCTGTGGCTAGGACAATGCCTACACTACAAAATGTTGCCTGCATATATTTACTTCAGTGCCAAAATAGCTGCAGACACATTTTCTTATTTAATCTCATTAAGTCACTGTAGAGAGGATGTAGTTATACCTTAAAAAAAATAAACAAACCCACCAAATGCTTTTCTAATGCATCCTATGTCTGTTGCAGCTTCATTGACATGTACTCTCATACAGCTATAAAGGCAGAAGGCCACCTGCATTGCCCAGTCCTTCCATGGTATCCAGTTTTCAAACATCCTCTTAAGAATGGGAATCATTACGGACTACATTGTGCAGAGGGTATGATTATTTATCTCATGTTGCATCAGATATTGTGAACAAAAGGGGTATTAGCCTAACAATGTTATTAACAGGGTGAGTACCCTCTGAACCACATAGGTATGGAAAAGTCAGGATTAGGCCCCACGACAGAGACACTGTGTTCTTGCTACATCTAAATGAGGATGTATTCTAGACCTCAGCAGAGCATCTTTTCCCCACATGCCTCAGCAATTCCTGCTTGTTCAGAGCATGGTGTTAATGACAGCAAGGTTGTGGGGTCAATCCCCATGTGGGCCATTCACTGAAGACCTGGACTTGATGACCTTTCTGGGTCTCTTCCAACTCAAAATGTTCTGTGAAATTCTGTAATTCTGTGAAATTCTGTTTAATTTCTGTTTTGACTAGCAAGTCTATATCTGACTAATGACTTGTCCTTGTCAAGGAAAAAAAGTGCTTTTTGTTCTTGAGGAAACAAGTCTGGCCAAATGACAATATTACAGTGAGATAGATTAATGTGATTAACACATCCAACAGAATGTGTTGGAGCACCCTGCATCTCACTAGAAGGTGCACACCATTTTAAATGAGGTATATGGCTTTCCCTGGAAAGTTTTAATACAAACTCTCAGGTCATTTCAAAGAAAATAATTTTAAAATAGTTCTCAATTAATAAATTTTGATGCATCTGATTTTGAAAAGATGTTACAATCATTTTGTTCTCCCCTCAAAGAAAAACAAGAAAGCAATAAGCTTTGAAATCTCCAGAGTTGCCAGAAAGTGAAACAGTATCCTCCAGAGAGCTCTTAGTATATGTTTAATTTAATTAATTGCCCTTCTACTCTCCTTTTGGTTCTATCAACACTTTGCATTACAAATTTTATAAAATATACAAAAATGTTTGGAAAATATATATAAAGCCTAAATTTGAGCAAATATAATATTAGTGAGATTTAAAGGTGTCAGAAACTGATTTGTTAGCACCTCAAGAGTCCATTGAAGTATGAATGGAAGTTCATTGTCCCTCACTGAATAGGAATTTTCGAGAGTGTGGGTGTCCCTCAGAATTAAAAACAATAACAGTGACTGTATAAGAGAACAAAAAGAAAGGATAAAAAAAGTATAATACATTTCTTCCTTTAAGACCAAGGTTCTTTGTTTCCAGATTGAATTGCTTGAATAGACTAAATAGTGCTATTATGTGCTATCCTTTTAGTTGCCAATGCAAAAAGGCTTTTGATAAGATAATAGAGAATTGAGGTTGTAATGACGACTAATGATGAGGATTCAGAGATAACAGAAATCAACCCAAATCAATGCATCAAATCTTCAAGCTGAAGAATGATACATTAATATCCAATACCACATTTAAAAATGTTTTAAACTTCCCCTTCAGAAAACAGCCAAAAGAAAGCTCTCCACTGAGTCACAGATTCAGCTCACTGAGGAATCTTCCTCATATTATGACAACTTCACATTTACTTCATACATGTCAGTTCTGTAAAGTCTTGTGTTATCCCATGGGGATGTAACCCAAAAGTATTCTTAATATATACACTACCTCCAAATCTATAATGTTTTGCAGTAAACAATATTATTCCTTATACCATGTTAATCATCCATCTTCTATATGAAAATAAAAACTTGTCAATATTTTTTTTACTTGCCTTATAGAGTTATATCGCAGGAATTCATTTACTTCATAACATTAAATAAAATGTTTATTAAGCTTGTAAATTATGTATGATAGGAGATATTAGTCTCCTATCATCACTTGAAGTGAAAAAAAATATTTCTAAAGGATCTATAGTACAGTACTCAGATAGTGATGGTTTAGGGAATCTTGTAATTTAGAAACTATAGATGGGGTAAAAAGAGTTCAAGGGAAATAACCTTTTGCTGACATGACTATTTACACAGAGCTAAATTCAGAATTATGAAGATGCATAACAGACTCTCTTCCTCTGATCCATTTAGTATATACACACACATACAGGTACATATATGTGTGTATATATGTTGATGTATACACATAATAAAGATTTTGTCTCCCAGTACACACAGAAAATATTCTTTAGGTATTTCATCACACAGTTTGGTTAAGTCCTAAGCTTCAGAACTAGTAAGTTGAAATGTATTCTTAGCATTTTCTTTTTTTTAGTCCAAAGATCCTCCTGAGCTGAATCACCAGACTTGAATGTCCAAAGCTTGTTCCAATGCTATGGGCTTAGGACAGCACTGCTTCTCAAAGTCAGTGACACATTAAATTTCCCTTAAGTTAATGCAGAAAAAAACATTTAAGGGTTACACAGTACATCAGTCTTCACATTAGATTCTTAAAAGAAAAAAAAATATGCCATAGTAGAGTGGGTGCTGAAATTAACAGCAAAGTAAAACCATTCAGTGCAGATTTTATCTGATTTGGGAGGTTTTGTTTGTTTGCTTGCTTGTGCTTGTTTTTGGTGTTTTTTTGAAAATGTGCTTCTCACAAGAAATTGTGTGACACAAAAGACACAATCAAGATTCTCTAACCAAGAAAATGTCATTACACAGAAAAACTACAAGTACCTCCTCCAAAGTTGTGTCAGAAATGCCATAGCCAGTCACATGTAGATGCTGAAGGCTTTGATCTAAAGCTTGGAAAAGACCTTTAAAAGAGGTCTTATCTGCCTTTTCTGGGATCACATAGGTCAGCTCGGTTCCACTGTTATCTTTCAAGAAGGCTTCCGGAATGTGGGTCTGTACCAGAGAAGTGACCTGAACAATGTGCTTAGGGTCCTGGATTTCAAACACAGATGGCTATGAAGAAAGAAAGATAATCATGCAGAGAAAATTAATATTACCACAAGTATTAGTCTTAAATCAGAATTCATGCAGGAAAAATTCCACTGATGAAACTGCATCACAGTTGGGATACAGAGACTACCTCCCAGGAACAAAGGACAGTGAGACAAGCCCATTTTCAGCTAAATACTGATACCATATTCAAAGATGCCATTGTGGCCATCTAAATAGCAATAATGATACCATCCACCCAAAACAACCAAGGAAGCCAACAAAAACATGTTTTGCTCATTCTCTAATAATCATATTACTAAACATATTACTTGCTGGCAGGAACATACATCTCCCTTAAAATGTACTTGGCAGGCACTCTCCAGTTCAGTACAGCACATTTTTAACTTACTTTTTTTATGAGTGTCAGACTGTGTCCCTGGCCATATGTCTCCCTCAGATAAGAGGGAGAGCCACAGCACCTCAGCTGGCCTCGCTGCAGGATGGCAATGCGATCACTGAGCACCTCGGCCTCGTCGAGATGGTGAGTGGTAAAGATCAGAGTGCAACCTGCATGGCAAAGATTGGTACATGTCCACAAAACCTGGTTTCTAGAGAAACCCCTCACAAAGGGCCTTTATCCTTAGGGAAACATATTTTCAGGACTCTTTAAAATCTTAACTACGCAAACAAAATATGCTGTCAGAATTACAAATTGAGTTACATTCAGTTCTAAACTTACTTTGCCCTGTTTTATCCATAGCAAAGAGTATTAAGGCTTTAGGACCTCCGGCTGTTTTAAAAGCTTAAGAAATTCCTTAAAATGACATAGCAGCAGCGTCTCTTTCAATGGATCACTCAACATGAGTTATTACAGCTAATTGAGTGCTCACTAGCTGAAGAGTTTCCTTCCCACAATCAATTTTAGAATTAGTGTAGCAGACTGACGATGAATATATTTTAATTAGAAGTATATAAGCCTCTATGTACAGGTATACGCAAAATAGGAAATGGAAACCAGAAAGAAATTTTGGGAAGCTGAAGAAAGGGGAGAAACTTCAGGACAGGACTTAAGACTAAACTCAGTCTTTAAGATTGGGCGTCTTTCTGTGCAATAGCGGATAATTCTTGTAATACCATTTGACTTGCCTTAAAGTTACCAAGATCAACTTAATGTTTCCTCAGAAATTAATGTATTTCGTTTCTGATAATATTTTGACTACACTTTGACTATCCAGTTTAAATTTATTGGAAAAAAAATCCATAAAAGAAAATAAGAAGCAAACAATGCGCATAAACTTTGTACCGGCTTTGTACTTCAGAAGAACATCCCAGATACTACGGCGAGAACATGGATCTACTCCACTGGTGGGCTCGTCCAGAACAACTGTCTTTGAGTTTCCAATAAAGGAGATGGCAATTGACAACCTCCTTTTCATTCCCCCAGAAAGGGCTCCAACAGGTTTGTACTGATGCTGGGATAAATCCACATCTTCCAGAGCTCTGAAATAGGAATACAGAAATAGGACCAATTTTGAAAATACTTTTCTAGTCACTTTCTGCCCACTCAGAGAACAAGTACTGAAAAGTCATTGTAAAAGGAAAGCAATAAAATCACTATCTCTGTCTGATGATATACTTTGGTATCAAAAACAAATAGGAAAAAAAATCTCTACCTACAGAGCATAAATGCTTATCATCCTCAGATGCACAGATTTTAAATTATATTTTAAAGGAAAATTTTAAATTAAAGATAATAAAATTAATACTAATTTTTCCAAAAACTTCAGCAAACTACAGATTATAGCCCCTCTAAATAATGATAGAGACTGCTTGTTTTGGGAAATGAACTGTTTAGAGATCCCTGGGTAGAATAATACTATCTAACCAAATTTAATCTAATTCCTATGTTAAGGACTGGGAGATATCCTACAGATGTTTCCAATTCAGCCCTTGCCCTTGCAAGATGCTGGTCTTGCCTCTGAGCATGGTATGGAAACATGATTAATAAAGGCATCACTATAAGACCTTTAACTTATTTTTCATCACACTGAGCATACAGTCACTGACCTAAGAGCTTTCAGCTGCTATCAGCTTGGCAGCAAGACATAGAAGGCTCAACGGTCCTAAGCTAAACTTCTGAATCATTTCAGTGAGTATGCAGTCTGTAAGCAATGTCATTTACCCTGAGAGAATTTCTCATTTTTAAGAAAACACATTTCAACAGCTGTTCTATAGATATATAGTGAGAAAAATTATTCTTAATCTCTTTAGAAGCCTGCTTTTTTAGCTAATAAAAAGCTTTTGTTTAATTCTTTTGTTGCTTTTCTAATTTCTCTGAAGTCTTTTGAAGCATTTGTTGTCTTTAAAAATAATTTTTCTTAGTAGCAAGGCCTGCAGAGTTCTGAGTGCTCTCATGTGCCATTAGTATGACAGACTGCTGCTAGGATTACAACTCAGCAGTGTAAGTGCATTAAGATACAGAATATTATTTTGCATCAATTTTAAACCATTTACTAAATTTGTTTTGTCTCTGTGGTTCTAGAGAATTCCTTCTGTTGTTTCTGGAGAGAACAGGGTGTCCACACCTGAGTTTGTTCAGATTCAAATTTAAAAGTAACAGGCTTTTATGATTGCTACCAAAAAGGAAAGCCACTTCGCCACAAATGCCTCTGCATATGCCTGATTGTACACTTAAGGAAGAGTCCCATCAGCTTGACATTTTTTTCCATTGAAGTATAGAAATGCCTAGCCTTTCACAGAGTCTAGCATTAATCAGAAGGTAAACACAATCTATTTACACTGTCACTCTGTTTGAAAACATACCTTTTATTTCTGCAGTAGAATAAATGCAGTTCGCTATTAATGAACCAGATCTCAGCTTGTACAGTTTACTAGTTACTTTAATATACACTAGGAAAAATTAACATCTAGTCCTATATTGAAGAAGTATCAGCACAAAAACACTAGCAAATGTTTATCGCCTCACAAGTGGCAAATCCTCAGAGTTTAGGTCAGAGCTCTGACTTATTTTTGCTATTGTATTTTTCATTTTTAAACCTCATCATTTATTAAAAACATTTGAAGCTGGATTTGGCAAAGGAAAAGGAGGTGGCTTATTTAAAAATATTGTAGCAGTCACTGCCTTTACCTGGATTTCCTGGTTTTCTAACTTTCCTTCTGCTGCAAGTGAAGGAATACAGGATAAGAAACGTATAAAGTCATTTTGTTGATTTATTTAAAAACTCGGGGTAAGCACAGCAGCTTTCTTTCTATCTGCTTCTCTGTCAAGGATAGAGGTAAGGCAGACAGCATGAGGTGGAACCCCTGCAACTTTTTCAAGGCTAAGCACCTCCACTCCATGAAAACCTCATTATTTGATAGCTGTGTATACCAGGTTTTTAAAGAGCGACAGATCCCTCTACAAATATATTCATGTAATAGTTAGAGACTAGGAAATTTATTTTCAAGTCATGATTTCAGAACATGAAATGTGACAAAAACTCACAAAACCCTGCAGCTTCCATTGTTTTTCCCTTGTAAGTTTTGCATTTTCTCTTTTTTATTTGGGTGGCTTGCAACAGTCATTACCAATTTACTCAATAGATTTCAAGGAAAGGAAGGAGAACTCACCCACTGACTTGCTCATCCAACTGTTCTTTTGTCCACGTGGGTGCCTTCACGGATCCGTAAAGCAGGAGATGCTCTCGCACCGTCAGCGTGTTGAACAGGACGTCGTACTGGGGACAAACACCCAGCTCTGTCCTGATGGCAGCCAGCTCCGTCCGTATGTCCTTCCCATCAACAATAATGGTGCCAGAGCTCGGTGGATACAGACCAGTCAACAGGGATCTGATATAAGAAAGAAAAAATTTGGCAAGATAACATGCAATTAGCTCATCACTTAGATATCCTGAGACATCCTTAAAGTAACACCAATTCAATCAAGTGTACTTATAGAGACATCACTAACGTCCTGGATTTGGATTTAACTACTTTTTTCTTTTGGTGGCTTTTTGGGTTTGAGGATATTTTTTTTGGTTGTTTTGTTTGTTGGTGGGTTTTTTGTTTTGTTTTTTGAACATGATCTCAAGAGTTCTTAATTTCCCTTCCTCCAGAGCAAAGTCTTTTTTTTCCCCCCAACCAAATCTAGCAGGTGGTTGTTTCCTTCTCCACATGGGTACTTTGTAAGGAATATTTCCCAGTTAGGTCCCATCCTGTGTCACTGTCTTGATGAAAGCTGATTATAGCTATAGAAAGGTAGAAACATAAGTTTCTTAGTTGAGACATTTTTAAGGTAATTTTTCATTTTATTACTTTCTTTTTTGGTCAACTGCCAAGAAAGAAATCCCCTGCAACTTCTAGGGACAAAAACACCATAAAATTCTGAAAAAGAACACTCCTTCCAGATGCGTTCAACTCTCCAACCAAACATGCCCAAGTCCTGCTTAAGCTGTTCCTGGGATATCATATTACGGTTCTAGTGGCACAGAGGACTCCGTTCTCTGCTCATTACATTCCTTCTGTCATAGATATGCAACCCTCACTTTCCATTTGCTTTGGGGAGTTTATCAAATATTTATTGGGGGGGATGGGGGAAGCATAGCAAAGAGTTCACAAAATTTTAAACTGAAAAAGCATAGCTGAGATCAGAGTAATAGTATTAAAAGTCAGGCTTACATAACTGTTGTCTTTCCAGCTCCATTAGGTCCCAGGAGCGCTGTTATCTGGCCCTTATGGAAAGTGAGGTTGAGATCTTTAACAGCAGCCTTCCGACCATCCACGTGCTCTTTGGTGAGGGACAGCAGCACAACACCAATGGTGGTGGCTCCTTCAGTGCAAGGGACTTTCCAACCCTGAGCTGCGAGGTCTGTGTAGGGAAGAGTAGCAGAAAAAGCAGGTTGCTGAATCTAAACATGTGTTTGTGCATAAAAGGAATAACAAAATAACTTCTGCTACCATTTACCAAGGCCTAGAACAGATGTTCAAATTGACTGAACTGACACAAACTACACTGAAATGAAAGGTACCATGCCAATTTATATTTGCTAAGAATTTGGCCCATTTGTTATGCCGAGTTATGTGCATGTCTATATATGTCTTGATAAAGTCATAAAATAGTTGCTATATTTTACTTCTAGTAAAAAAATACTTATAATAACATTACTTGATTTTTTTTATACTCATAAGCATTAGAATGTTCTAACTGTGTAAGCTACTTCATATATGTCATCCAGTTTTAGGCACACAACATTGACATAACATTCACAGGCACAGGCAGTTAATCTTCTCAATTCCCCTCAGTCAACCAAGCAAAGCAGATCTCTGAAATTATTCAGAGCAGCAGCCCAGTCCAAGCATTATTCAAGGTGCTCAAGGCAAGCAGATATCCAACAGTCTTCTTGCTGTGAGGTAATATCCTCAGGAAATTGAGATGCCATGTGACCCCAATGAAGTTGCCTTCCTTTCCATGTCAGGTTTGCACTACTTTCCAAACATGAGCACAGTCAACCAGCAGCCTCATTACATTATTCATGTTTAATATTTTATTGACTCATTACTACTTAGAGATCTGGCAGTGAGTGGGTTTATTTTATTTTTAAGCAAAGGCAAGCCAGATTGGAATGTTAGTCCAAAGAAACAAATGTTATGCCTGAGAATTATGAGGAGAGAATTCTTCTTATGCATATACATATACATAAGATATTTATGGTTTATAGTTATATTATTTGCAAAACTTTTACATAAATAAAATGCAAATATTACAAGAATAGAGAATTATCCTCTATATGAAAAGCTTGAATAATATAAATCAAATTATAAATTAAAAAAAAAAAAAACAAAATTATTTCAAAGATTGGTTTGTTTACACAGTGATTGAAGAAGTTGTTTTGCTGCTTTCACACTCAATTTTAAGCTTCTGTCAAAAATTTGTTCTAAACTTGAGGTCGCTTGCTAGCAAGGTACTACCAGCAGTTGTGACACTATGGAGATCTCCTATCCATGCACCTCTCTTCTAGGAACCTTTCTGCTGTTTCCTAAAGTTGCATCCTTTAAATTAACAAAAAAAGCCTTCAAGTGCAGAGGGGCCTCAGACAATGAAGCTCAGGAAAGACAAAGAGGGAGAGCTCCAAGTTACTTGCAAGCACTAAACTGATTACCCTGGGATTTCTCCAAAGGAGATCTCCAAGAGGGAACACAGCACCCTGGTCACAGCCAGCCCTGCTGCAGTTGTAGTTCCAGCTGGTAGGACCTACACTCCCAGCTCTTCCCTCACACACCTCTGATTTCCTAAATGTTCTCCGTGCCCCTGGAACCAGCCCTTACCTGTGCTGTATGGAACAAGGGAAGAAATTGCCTGGAAACAAGTCACTTTGCTGTTCCTAGAAAATCCTTCGTGGCTGCATTTATCCCATTATCAGTACAATGGCACAAAGTTCTTTTAAAGGACAGCAAGCTCCTTTGCTGCAGACAGTGTTACCATTCACACACAATTTGCTATCAACCACATGACATGAGGAAATCACTTGAATAACTTGAGCCAGAAACCACACTAAAACTGATCAGGCAGAGAAGTTTATGTCTTTGTTTTCTGCACATTATGTGCTGAACCCAGAAGGAAATACTGGAAATCTGCATTCTATGTAAGGACCAAACACAATTGTCTTAACAAAATGGACTGGTTCCAAATTGTAGAAATTCAGACAAAACTCATACAAATAATTTTTCCACAACTGTTAAAAATGAACCTCAAGACATTTTGAAGTCTGCTCCAATCTAGGAGACACCTGTATGTAAAAGTGCTGAGTTATTAATCTTCTTCACCAGTGCTACAGACAACTGAACAATTTCTAAGATATTGTAACTCCCAAAATAAGCACAACAACCCATCATGCTGTTCTAAGGTCCAAGATGGAAAGCAGGTGAGAGTGACTAACTCCTTCATTTCCAAAACCTAAATTAAATGTGGGATTGTCCCTAAAGAGACTGGAGAGGGGAGAAAAGGTAAAAAAATCTGAATTAATTGTGAGCAAGTGAACATACATAGAAGAGCAGTGAAATTATCTCGAGGCTGAAAAAAAAAATTAGTTACAATAACAGCTTTCTAGACAAATGGCTAAGAAGCAGAGACAGAAAGAACAGTGATTATAGAAGAGGGAAATTAGAAACAGAAGGGAAAGAAATGAACAAAGTTAATTTTTCCACTGAAACAAAAAGCAAATTTTTAAAAAAGTTAATAGAGCCTGGCACGTGTGGGATTCATTGAGAGCATGAAAGTGTTCAGTGGCTTCCAAAAGATCCAAACAATGCAAAGTGGCAATACACTGGGAGAGGATGAACCCAAGAGATACTTATTTTACATATTTCAAAGAGTTTGCTTAAATATTTCTGTTCAATAGTTTTCACAGAATAAATCAATCATTACAGGGGGTAGCAAAATGAAACACTTACTATATAATATTCACAGTATATACTACATAATGAAAGAGAGAAAGGGATAAGATCTAAACATATAATACAGGACCAAGCAATGACAAAAGCAGATTAACTATGACTAGTATATCATTCAGAAAACATAGCCATTGTTCAAATTCTATTACTACAAACCTTTTTCTTGGAAGATTTCATTGAAGAAAAACATATTAGAATTCAGATAATGTCTCTTGCTTCTCTCTGTACCACACAGGTTCTTCCAGTAGGAAACAGTAAAGGGAAAGTACCATCGGTTCTTCAATCCAAATTTTCCTATGTTAGAATTATGATATAAACTGTTGAAAAATTTATAGTCATTTTGCATCTGTTTGTAGACTAAAATGTCCTATTATTGCTTACAATTAGTTGGTTACACCATTTAATTAGCCCAAATACTTTTCTTTACTTAAAAATTTTAATGAAGTGTAAAAAAGTCATTTGGTCATAAAACCAGGTCCTTCCATAAAGTAATCAAGCCTCAGTGATGTTTTACCCCACCTCCAAATCAGCTTCAAAGTGTAACAGAATCATAGACCTATCATAATCTTGCAACCCATAGGGAAGAAAATGCACCAAATAGCATGCCAAGAGAAAGAGCCTTTTTTTAAATTATAAAAATAGTCCATTGCACCAGTTCTTCCATTAATATCTGCAACACTCAAACAAATCAGCCACTAAAAGAAACACTTATTATGGCACATAAACAAAAAGGGCAAAACCACAATCCTGTGTACAAACTAATCTTTGGCAGCGCCTGTTCTTTTCAGGCATTACTTGCCCATGACACAATACACACTCTCTCTGTTTGGAGTGTCATTACATTGACACTGAAGGGCAAGTGTCAATTGAAGATAAAGATTTTTAAATTCAGTTGCATATTCCAACCACCCCTATCTTTCAAGGTAAAATTCAATTTTAATTTAATAAACAAAGAAATACAAAGTAGCCAGAAGAAAACGCAACATATACAAATCAGAGGAAAGGTAAATCATCAGAGGAAAGGTAAAACATACAGTGAGGCATGAGGCCATGATTAAAAATACATCAACCAACTCAATAAGACTTATAAAACTTGGTTCATGAAAAAATTTAAATAACCACACCATTACTTTCTGAAAATATACTTGAAAATAAATTTGTTTTCTCTATACACTGGACCGTGGACTGATTGGGAACAAGATACAGTGACTGTACTGTCTGAAGTTTTTTTGATCTGAAAACATGCTGTTGCTGTTGGGTTTCAGCCCAGGTACTGAGAGGAGATTCACCATTTTTCCAGGAAATTTTGCTTCTAGACTAACCTCTCTTACTGAGAAGATCCAATAAATTCCTAATTCTATCAAATATTTGTCATACCCATCTGCAAACAAAAGGTATTTCATGTCTGGCTACAAATTCTAGTCCATGTGTTAGCACTAGTCAGTATTTACGTATTTAGGAAGATATTGTTTCCCAGTCCCTAAAGAATGACAGTTTTGCACAACAGAACCATAACTCAGAAAAATACATATTTTTGTTTTATTTGCATGAAACCAAGAAAGACAATGCCACAATAAGTGTTTCCTATGGCGACTGAATGTTTACATTGTGAAGACATTAATGAATGAATAATATTAAATAAATTCTTCAAAAACATGAAATAAGAACAAGCCCATGGTCTTACCAGGGAAAATATTGCTGAAATACCAGCCGCCTACAAAATATAAAATGGAGTCAAAGAACATCATCCAGCACATCCATCCAAAGGTCATGTATCCTCCTTGTGCCGTTGACTGGTGCACATTATCCCACTGAATTCCTGGTAGTAATAATAATGATTTTTTCAAAGGTCAAAGCTAGATCAACACAGCATTAAAGATCACAAACACATCAACTTCTGGGCCTTTAAGCACTGGCACAAGACACACCATAGCTAATAATAGTAATCCTAATGAACAGAAAAAAATTTCTATGCCTCTACAAGCCTGTGTTTAGAACAGCAGGTGCCACTGCTGCTGGGAAAATGTAGAGATGTTGAAAAGGTTGTTTATGAAGTTTTAGCTGGCCCTTAATTTGGCAAAAGAAAAAGAACTACAACACTGACAAAATGAATCAGGCTTTAAGCCACTCTGCTAATGTAAAGAAAAGGATTACACAAAGTTTAATATCATTTCTATAATGCTAAATCTGGAGAGTTAAATCTGTGAATTCTAACTAAGAAGCATAGTGTACATTTACTGCATTTAGAGGTAAACATGAATGAACTCACTGGATAATTGCTTCATAAGATTATTACATTGCAGAGGACATTAAAGGAAAAAAGAAGGTGCAAACACTAGTGCTACAGAAAGCTACCATTCTGCTAAATGGAAAACAAAAGTAACAAGACTGTAAATTCATTAAAAATACTGCATTTTTTAAACTGCAAATGCCACTTTGCTTGCAGCACAGTGGATCATGATATTGCTTCTACAATTCTTTTTCCACAATTGTCAAGGAAAGTAGTTTCTCCCAAAACACATTTTGCCCTTCATTTAATAAAGATGAGTCATTTTGATGAAGCGTCTGGTGGGAAATTTAGGTAATATATTCTGCAACTGTCTCTTCCACTCTTACAAACTGTTGTACCATTATGACAATTTTTTCAATAGTTTGAAACATCCACTGCCGTGAATATTGTTCTCGTCATAATAGTAAAAAAAAAAAAAAAGATTGCACCCTTTAATACAATACCTGAACTTGATCCAGCTTATTATTTTGAGATTTTTTCAGAACAGATTGAAAAAAATTTCCAACTGTAGTTTTTGAAATAATAATTACAAAGCTTTTCTCTTAACCAAAGACCTTACCTATTTCTTGCCCCTCAAAATATGTAATGAAAAATATTCCTTGCCCAAAGGCAGTTGTAGACAGAAGACACTGCAATATCAGAGAAAGAGTATATGAACCTCAAATAAAAACACGCTCTTAACAAATTTTATGTAATAAAATATATGGTGATACTTAAATCAAGAACAAACTAAATAGATCTTTTTTTTCCTCCACACAGGCTAATGGTTGCTATTTCATTTTACGTTTTAACCATACTTCCCCACAAACCTTAGTAGTATTTGCTCCACTTAACATAGCTCCACTAAGCTAGTTTTTAGTACTGAAAAGTGTTGTTTTATCTGACCAACTGACACTGAAAAAATGAGCATTTTTTAGCAATGTATGAATTATTTCACCAGCCTAATTTAGTGAGTTATTTTGAAATAGTGAAGCCATAATGCATGAGATATGGTTTTCTTTATATGATGGTGATACTTGATGTCACATTTAGGGATGTGGTATTTTAGGACAGTACAAAGACATAAAACAAGCTATGGAATACATAGAACAGGAAAAGACCTGAAAAAACCTACACCAAAGAAACACATACCTCAGATTATATGGTTGGACAAATTTCTGATCTATTCTCCAATTATATTAACAGAAAATTAATTACTAGTTTTTTCCAAACAAATAATGACTTTGAAAAGTGAAATGTCAGCTGATCTTGAAAATTCACTAATGTTACAAATATTTTGAAGTCAAGACATTAAGAGAACTCATGAGTATGAGGAATGCAACTTCCTGATATTTTCTGTAGATTTACAAAATTGCCCTGGCACATTATTTTTCATTCTTTTCTACCTTCTAAATATTTTTTCAGTTGGAGATTTATTAGTGTGGTTTATTTTCAATAACCACAAAAGCAAACAGAAAAGTGGGGAAAAGGAAATACATTACGGTCTGAAGTTTTGAAACTATAGAAATTCACAGCATAGTTGGAGGAGAAAAATTAGAAAAGAAGAAATATTTACCATTATAATCTGGTTGGTGAAACTCAGCTGGTTCTGCAAGACCAACAAAACTATGTAGGGTAAAAAGCTGATCATGTAGACAAGGCTGGCACACAGAGCTGCTGTATCGGCGCTGCTGAAAAACGCTCCCAAAAAGTAGCTTAACATGATGACTGTAACTCCAAATTCCAGGAGAAAAAGGAAGATAAGGAAGCCATTGCTATAAGCAAAGATGCCACTTGCTTTCAAAATGATGGCCAGAGCGCAGCTGCTTACGGTGAGCACAATGACATTCTCCAAAAACCAAGCAAAGAAATGAATGGCTGGATACACACCCATTGTCTTCATATACTGCAAGAAAACAGAGCAAAGAGAGCTGAAGTCAGGAAACAAACTTTCTTTCCTTTTTCTTTTTTAAACAAAACATTTTGTCACTGAGACACTACCAGCTTCCCAAAGGATGTCATCTTCCCCTTAAATTTCTTGTTTCTTTGCCCTTGTGCTGTGCTCTCTCCTGGATCAGACACGTTATTGAGCAGGGCAGGCTCTGAGGTCATCACACGTAAGCACAAGGAATCACCATGCTCAGCTAAACTCTCTTTTGCATAGGGTTTTAAAAACAGCTGGTTCTTCCAGCTAGGATTTTGCTTTTTTATACTCTAAAAAGTACTGAGAATATCCACAGCAATATATATACAAATATTTTTTTCTCAACCTGTTACTCTTCTGAAAGAGGCATACAGTTTGTAACCTTTATGTATTACCTGGCAAATAAAAAATTAGCCAGGTATGAAGTACATTCCTCTTTTTCTAAAAATGTGCTTTTGGATACAAGCTAATAAAACTTTTGAAGCAGTTCTCATAAGACCTTCAAAATTAATATTAAGGTGATTTAAGATTTTGGAGCATTAAAAAAGTTTACCTTACAACAGAATGATTAGAGAAATTAGATAATTCTTTAATAATTCCCTAAATTAAAAATTATACTCAAGCAGTAATTGTGCTGATACAATGAAATCAGTGTAATGCTTTAAAAAGTGTATTTATCCCTACAGAAAATATATCACAAGGACCCTGTCCTTCCAAATGCTTAGCACCTGTGAAGACTAGCTGTTGATAGAAGCAAATAATTGCCTCCCTTTTTTTGGCAGGTAATTTCCCTTTTATTTCTGATAATTACACAGTTCACTACAAATCCTTAACTTATTTTAGGTAGTTTTATCATTGCTGACTACATAGAGCAAAACATGAAAAAGAATCCAAAACAAAAATCATTCTAATCAAAATGCCTTCCCAAATAACACTTTCCAGCTTCAACTTTTGCTTGTTGCTTTTTGTCTCATGGACAATATTTGCATACTGATGCTCAAATAATGTTTTGAAACTGAGTTGGCAGTTAGAACCAGACCCTACTGCCCAGAGGAAACAAGTGAAAACAAAGCCATCTGGATTATGAGTACTTAAAAGTATCTCACAACTTTTGTATTCCAGTGCACCTAAATTAACAAATTTTCTTTTCAGAGGTTAATCTGCCTCTTACCTCTTCAAGATGAATTTCTCTTTCATAAACCAGCTTGCGAACCATACCAGCAACTGAAACCATCCATGTTAACATCATCATAAGTGGGAAAAAAAACCCTATGTTGTTCAAGAATCTATGAAAGAACAAATATGAAGAGCTGTCAGCCCACTAAGGTAAACTATTTTCTAGCAGAATGTTAATAGGTTAATACTGGAACTGTTCTCAGAATAACATCTGACATGAACAATGAGATTTATTCATGATCTGGTTAGAATTACTTTTTTTTTTAATGTAACAAGATAAATGCATGTACTGGTACAATATTATTGTACTAATTTTATATATTATAGTATTTTATACCATACAGCTGATATAATTACTCTTTAGGGCTCCATTCAAAGCCAAACAAAATTCAGTTTTGTGCCAATGGCAAAGTAATATATTTGGACATCGAGGAATAACATGACCCAGTCAATTTTCACTCCACTTTAACAAATTTGTTACCACTGCCTAATTTTAAAATCTAACAGTTGGGATGTTTTGATGATTTTACAGAGAACAACCCTACATTTTTGCTTCATCAACTTCATCCTTCAAGGGACCAATTAACAGTTTGTGTACAGGACAACTAAGGATTTAAAAGGGATCTCTTACAATAATTTAATTGCACACTATGTTGACACAGCCACTGTCCAGCAGACTACTCCACACTATGGCTGCAAGCATTTTGTAAGGGGTCGTTTGCCAGACAAACACTGTTCAACATGTTATGTTAAACACAGCTGCTGGGCAGTAATTGCTATGCTGTAATATTCTGGCATTGGATGTACTTGTTCAAGACTGTGCAGAGATATACATTCACCCACTGAAAATTTGGAACCTAGTAGGATTCCAAGTTCTCCAGAACTAATCTAAGGATAATCATCAAATTTAAAAGCTGAAATTTTACTTACAGATCACTGGTGTGGCAAGGGTAAGGCATGGCTTGCACCTGAATTGCTGTCTCTGAGGTGTCTGTCCCAGTCTGTGCTGAAATAATTGCCCTTTCAATCATATCTTGAAGAGGAATAAAGACATGGTTGTATTTAAACCCATCAGCTGGCAGCTTGTGGGGATGGGATTTCCAGGTTGGATTTTTAATCAAATCTGTTCTCATGCTGTAGAGAACACTGGTTCTAATTGTATATGAAATGTGTCTTGGAAGGACATTGCTAGAATCTTGCTTCTTGTCCTCTGGTGTACTGAAGATGATACCTGACACAAGAAGAAAGGAAGCCTCATAACTAAACTTATATAATTTATGCTATTTCCATAGCTAACTCATGGCTAATTACCATGTGATATAGGATGCATTAATATGTCACGGCAGGCCTCAAAACTTGATTCCAAGCCCAAAAATGGCAGGTTTCAGAGACACATTTTTCATTTTCATGAATATGAAATGTAAAAGATGATTCACATGATAAATGGGTTCGTAAAAATCATTTTTATCCAAGGTGATTTGTCTTTTTCTGAGCTGCAGTTTTTTTCTTTGCATCCACATTTAGCCCTTTTTGGAGGACTGATATCAGTTTCACAGCAGAAGCAGCAGCCATAAAATTGGTGCATCAAAGCATCAACAACTTTCATAAGCAGATGACAAAGTAAACAGCACCAACCCACAAAAATTTATGCTGATATTAATCTTCAGGTCAATTGCAGAAGTTGTAGTTTAGCACAGCAGAATTTGCATGTTTGTTTTCTCTAGCTCTGTATAAAGGAAAGCAAACCCCAACCAAACAAATGAAAGCTTAATATGTAGCTGTAAAGATGAAGCCAAATACATGAAACGGCTTGGGTTCTCTTTTTGTGTTATCCAGACATTTTAGGACTTCCTGATAAATGCTAAATGTTGCCCTTTTCTTCCTTGGGAAAAGGAAGAGATACCTTACTTACCAGCTGGTTCTCTGAAAGATAATAAAATACAGAATACTGTCACAGACATATTTTATGAAAAATCCTTTTGTTAGGATCTTTTCTCCTGAGAAGAAGCTAAGAAGCTTCAGCTTCTCCATTTTTTGCTGTTTTGGAATATGATTTGGAGAATTGTTTACCCAGCATGTGAAATTGTTTTTACTTGATGGCCAACGACAGCCACCTGTGTAGAGGCTGTGAGCAGTCACAAGATTTTATTATCGTTCCTCTCTATTCCTTACTAGCCTTCTGATTAAATCTTTTCTTCAATTCTTTTAGTATAGTTTTAATATATAATTTTCTTTTAATATAATATATATCATAAAATAATAAATCAGCCTTCTGAAACATGAAGTTAAGATTCTCATCACTTCCCATGTTGGGATTGCCTGCAAATTCAACAGAGTACTTTACTGCAAATGTGATCTCATTTTTCCATTTACACAAACAGTTGATTTTCTAAGACATTCCATGAAGATGTGAAGGCTCTGAAGACCACAAAAAAAGAAAGGAAAATTCTATTCCAGTTTAACATCTTTCTATGGAAAGGAATGTATGCCTACATCAGAGCATGTAACATTGACATGTTGGACACATTACGCTCCTTAGAATTCCATCTTCTTGATCTCTAATAATGTGAGGAGATAATAAGCCTAAGTACTGAAAAATACACAAAATGTCTTGACTTAGAATATGACCCTTCCCTAGGAAAATGGAAGAAAAATGAAACTATAATTTGATCATTCAGTTTTCTGAGGGCCAAGACTTAACTGTCTGTTTCTTTCCTTAAGGAGACAAATAGTTTGCCTTCTCCAAAGTACTCTGAACAATTTTCCTTGTCTCAAGGTATAGCCTGTTTGTTTCATATTGATAGAAGGTGGAAATTGCCAGGGCACTGTGCAGATCACAAAACAAGCATGAGATTCCAGACTGAACGGTTTGCTTCTTAACAAGTGCTTTCTCATGTCTTCTGTTATACACTTACAAGCATAAGGGGGACAAAAAACCCAAAAAAACAGAGGGAAAATGTTATGGAACAGTTTTTATAGACTTAAGGGGGCCTCTGTTTTGGAAATACTACATGCAATCTACAGTATTTTCTGCAAGACAAGAGGATATGTTAAGGGATAAGGATTCTTGCCTTTTAAAATCTGTTGTAAAATTAATTGATTCTCAGCAATAAGCATATAATGCAGGAAAAAGAGAAAAATGTAATCCTAAGGAAGAAAATAATTCCTTAAGAATTTATTTACTCTGAATAAACAAGCAAATTTCTCTGAGGGGTTGGTTTAAGAGTAAATCTTAAAAAATTCCCTTCCTTTCCTCCTTTTTGAAAAGTCAAGAATAAAAAATATATTTTGAAAGGACGTAAACTAGATAACTTTGGCATCTTGTTAAGTTTTCTCAGTATTCCACATTTTCTTATCTTTTTCTTCTTTAAATATTTATGACCATTCTTTTAAACATTTTGATACAAATAAGATTCATTCATTTGGCCATTCCACAGTTAAAACAATATAATTAGTCTTTCCAGCTTACATTACAGCATTCAAATGTGCTTTATGTTGACTGTATTATATGTGATTTAATGTGTTCTTTGAAACTGTGCAACCTTTACCTACCTTATCAATAAACACAGACAACAAATACAAAGTCTGAAATTTTCTGTAAAAACACATTTCACATAAGGTACTTACTAGCCAAAAGATTATTTTCCTGCATGAGTTCATGAGCCTTCTCCTCCAATTTCTCTATAGAGTCAAAAGGTTGGAAACGGTCCAGTAACACACAGGAAGAGATATTTACAACAAGCTGTGTCAACAGGTCAATCTGTTTACTTGCTGAGCTGTTAAGCATCTTGTTTGTCATAGTTTCTAAGATGAGGGAACAAATTGAACTTGCTTAGTTTTAATGATCAGAACAGAAAGGTGTGTTGCCACTTGCACATCCTATAAGAATAAATCCTCGTTGTAGTTAAGAAAAAAAAATTTAAAAGACAGAAATTTTAGTGTGAACTTGTGGAAGTGTAGCTCATATTTCAGTGGCTTTTACAAGGCCTCAGCTACTCTTTCCTTCCATTTCAGAGGAATAAAAATGTAACAAATTCTAGCAAAGTTCTAAAAAGAGCCCACACCCTTGAACCATTTCTTATGTTGCCATAACTACTTCCACAAATACAAGGGAATTGCTGTACTTCAGATATCATAATACATATTAATCTCTCATTTAGCAACATAATATTCAGTTCTTTTCTCCTTGATACTGTGAATATTTCAAAAATCATGCTAAATAGAGCATAAGCATTTTGACAGGAGTCCTAGATTTAAAAGAATCTGAAAAAAAGCCTAATAATCCCTTCATTTTTACTTTAACTATGCATCCAGGAGGAAAAAATACCTCAATCAAAACCTGATTTCTAAAAAACTCAACCTTTGGAGGAATTCAGATCTTCATCCATTGGTAGAAAATGTAGGGATAATGCTATATCCTTATGTTTGAGAGAATAATCAGTAGGATAGCATGAGCTAGAAACAGGCTATCTAGATTTAATAAAACATCTGAATTTCTCAGGTAATAAACAAGGCTATAAAACATTCAACACAATTTTCAATCTTAAATTTTTCAACACTCACTTGACGATATAATCTTTTAAAAAGGATAGGTGATGACCTCCTATGATAAGAGTGGTGACAGACAAATCCTGGATCATAGACATTACTCAGCATCAGCGCAGGAAATATTACAATGGGAAGGAAGATAAGTGGAAAATGTATGAAGCAGTCTGAAGAAGAAGCATGATTAACAGTGAGAAGGGTAAAGTGCACAAGGAGAAAAAGCAGAGGAACTGACAGTCTAGAATTCAAAAGATAGGCAAACAACAACAAGGTGAATTCATAGGTTGAGAGAAACCAGAACAGAATAGAGACAATAAATGTCTTATTTATGGCTATCCTTGAGGAGGACAAGAAAGGAAACACCCATGCTGCCTCTTTTTTTTTTTCAGCATTAGAGAGAAGAGAATATTCCTAACATTAAGCCTGAATGGCAGGGTTTTCATATACATTTTTATAGATGTGCATGTATTTATACAGAACCCTATATGCATTATTTTGTATGAAGAGAAGCTGAGAGGGTTGGGGTTGCTCAACCTGGAGAATAGAAAGATCCAGACAGATCTCATAGCACCTTCCAGATCTTATTGTGGCCTGAAGGGAGCCTACAATAAAGCTGGGGACAGACTTTTTACAGGGGCATATACTAGTAGGACAATAGGGAATGGCTTTAGACTGTAAGAGAGTAGGTTTAGATTGGAACAGGTTGACCAGAGAAGCTGTGAATGCCCCAAGCCTGGAAATGTTCAAGGCAAGGCTGGATGGGGCTCTGATCAACCTGGTCCAGCAGAAGGTGGCCCGTGGCAGAGGGATGGGAACTACATCATCCTTAAGGTCCCCTCCTACTGAAAGCATTCTATCATTGAGTGATATATACACGCACAAGACCTTAATTTGAAATCAATAATTAGCTAAGAAAAGCTTCTCTCATGAGTTAAATTGTTGAATATTTCAGCATAAGAAGTAACATCTATATTGCTGTTGGCTTGGAGTGTGGTATGCATAAATATATGTGGAAAAAATGTTGTCTTAATGTACTTCTGTTCTCCATCATAGAAATAACATATGAACATATGAAAAAAATGCAATCTACATGAGTGTTTAAAAATCAAGATCTATAGAGTTGAAGACCTTGTTTTTCCCATTTATAAATGTAGCAATTATGAAAGAAAAAGTTGGCAAATCTGTGTTCATTATTATCTTCATATTTCATTAAAACATGAACTCAGCCCTCATCTTTCACTCAGCTTGTTTAACCTATCATTAAGTAACTGGGAGAAAATACAAATGGTTTATGTAAAACCATTGGGTAGAAGTGCTGTTTAAGTAAAAATAAAAAGTTGCTGGAAGAATAAATTAGATTAAATCAGTAATAAATATATTTTGGTCAGAAATTAGAAGAAAGTTTCTAGGTATCAGAAGATTTGGGTGACAGTGTTTTCAGTGATGGCACTACAGCTATTTGTTCCCTGCCTTATAGATGCCCACAAAACTATATCATTACAATGAGGGCAGCAGAGGGGTAGCACAAAGGAGAGCTGCTGGTTTTGGTCTTGTTTTTTACTGCCCTGGCTGTTATACACAGTGTCACATGTTTCCCTCTGTAAGGAGAGCCCTTGATAGTGAAAAAAGAAAATTCGTATCTGGAAGAAATCACAGAAGATGGACAAGAGAGAGACTCAGCAACTAAGAATTTAAAAGAGGAGCTTGCAGAACAAATGCCTCCCAATCTTTCCTGAGGGTTTCTAAGGACTGTGCCCAGCAAGGAGCTCACAAGTGCTAGTGGGTCAGGGTTTATATAAGATCAGTAGGAAATTATTCCAAGTTGCTGGGCTGTGAAGCAAGCATAGAGAAAAACAATTGCCTTGCCCACATACAGCTAGCTTAGAAAGTAAAGGGATTTAAAAGAAAAACACAAGCTTTTTAGCCTTCAGCCTAAATAGTTACCTTGCTCCACCTGAGTAAATATGACACAGTACTTCTTCTAAACAGTTTTAGAAATTGATAACCTTGCAAGGTCTTGCAATATGATGATTTTATAGAGACAGTGGAAGAGGTCTACATCTATCCACTCTGTCCATGACACTTCACAGCAGGAGTAGCACAGAAAAAAACATCGCTAAGTCTGTTAACAATTTTTGTATCATTGTAGAGAAATAAAAAATTATACCAAGACAAGCACTTTGTATTTGAGGATAATTAAAAGTATGTGAGTATAGATGTGATAAAAGAAGATATTTGCTTTAGTTAGAAGACATAATCACAGAGATCAGGAGATTTTAGAAAGCTGGAGCTTTGGATGAAAATTAAAAAGATTGTGAGTGGTAAAACCATTAACATGGATATATTCAAGGCTTTAATTGGATGCAAGCAAGGTAATTACAGGACTGAACAGCTGATGCAATATAAGATTAATGAAAAGTTTAAAAAACAAACATAAGAACAGGTTTACAGTTAAGTTAGACATGATTATGGTCCAATAAAATAAACAAAGAGTACACAAGCTAAGATAGAAATAAGAGTGCATATCATTTTTCAATAAGTAAAACAACCAAATGAATCTATACAAAGAGGCATAATAAATGCAGAGGAGTGCTCTGGTGCTTTGGAGAGATCAGTTTCACAGAGGCATAAATGCTCTTGTGATCTATAGCCCCTATTGATTTTCAGTTTTTATATGATGCTAATTTTACCAACTGTAGTCCCTTAAAATAAGGAAATCCTAGTTTCACAAGCCACTCAAACCATGCTTTGTCTTGACCATCCAAACTATTAACCATTTATTACATATAATTAAATGTCCTTAGTTCTGTTTAAAAGCTATAGCTTGAGAAAAACAGGTACAGATTTCTTTGATGTTGCCTGCATCAGTGAAGATGGATCTGATCATTCCAGAGATCATGATATCTAGTTAATGAATATTGTTTGTCCATAACCTGTCATGCAGTTCTCATTGTTAGGTCCACACAACAAAATCCAGCTATTACTCAACAAATAGATTTAGATAGCTATGTTTCCAGCACTCCCTGAATCTTAAGAGACTTGCTCTTTCCTCCATACTATCTTTCCAACATTGTGATTGTGTGAGCTTGGTTTTTAGCTGTATTATGATCCATCTTCACCTCAAGTGGTGAGCTGGGCCCAACCCAGACTAGCCGGCCATTCACTGGTCAAGAAAATCATCTGAAGACAAAGCAGATTTCAATTTGAGTTCCTTGCCTAAGCAGGACACAGAGCCCAGATTCTTTCCAGTTTGAATTCCAGATGCTGTTTGCCATTTTTCTTACTGAAAGAGTGCACAGGAAGTCCCAGTCTTCAAAGAAAGCCTTCAAACTAAGGCCAATTTCTACTAAATCTCACAAGCTGTCTGCTAAAGAAAAGCCACACCAACTCACACCAACTATGACTGCACCAGCTGAGGGCAGTAGTACAAGTTAAGACTGAGAGCACACTTCATTTACAAGCTCTCAGGAGCCTCCATGGATTTTGTCCATCTCCTGCCTAGAGGCAGATTCCGAAAACCACTAAAATTGTATTTCAGGTGCATTTATTTATTTTAGCTGTAGGCTTAACTCTTTGACTGTAAAGCAGAATTAATGACTTACATTTCTGTAAAGTCAATTTTTTCAAAGCAACGAGGGTCACGAAGTTCCTCTGTGGGGGTGCCTGAGAGCACATCACTGCCCTCCTCCAGAAAGTGACTGGAACAGATTTCTGATTGGCTCATTATGATCTTAACAGGCACTGACCTGAAACTACACAGATCTGTCCTTTCTACCACAATCTTCCTCTGGGAAATACTCTGCTGCCTTTGTCTGTGATGTCACACTGTCTGTTATTGCATTTTATCCCACTTTTGTCTCTTTCTGATTCTCAAAAGCATGAACTTTTCTCAAATGACCCTGGAATCTACTTCAGTACAGAGTTTTCCTTCTGGAACATGCTGGCGAGCGTTTTAATGATTGTGCACCTACCTTACTAAAACCTGGATATACTGAATTTTTTTCAGTTATCAAATTCTTATAAAATCATTAAGTAACATAAATTTACAGCATAATCCTTTCTCTTCTCCTACCTAAATCCTCAAATATCCCAAATTAGTCACAATAATAATTCCCCTTCTCCATTTGGAACCATCCCCCTTGGGCTATCTAGCTAACCCTGGAGGGTCTCTGTTTGCCTGCCAGGGGTCACTACCAATGCAGAAAGGGAGCAGCCAGGGATGGCTGTGCCCAGGGGGAGACTGCCAGGCAGATCAGTGAACCAGGGCCACTACTTTCCCACCAGAGCTGCACAGAGCTGGCACGGGGCCTGGTCCTGCTCCAGGCTGCAGCTCCCACCATTTCACAGCCGCTTGTGGACCTGGGCCCACACTGCTTCCCACGGGATGGTGTTCTGCCCTCAGCATCGTTCCCATCCCCAGGGCTGGGACTGACCCATGTTGCTTCCTACTGACAGCGCAGCTCCCTGGTTATAACCCTCTCTCAGGCTTTTCTGAGGCTCAAGGACACCCCACACAACTGATTCTGAATAAACGGAAAGTATAAATACAGAGTGGTTTTGATCAAACACACTGTATCCAATCTCATTTTCTATTTATTTGCTTCAAAATTTACTACAAAAATATACTTCTACCTAATGGAACTGTGGCTACTGTGGCCTTTTAAGCATGGATGATATGTTTGAGATTCTCCCATGACACTTTTCCACTTCTGACTTGTTACCAATATTGTTTCAATATTTGAAATTCAAATTATCCAGTCATGCAAAAGAAAACAGACAATTACATTTGAGACTAACTCAAGAGGGTAAAGTCTCTTATTACTTTACTCAAGTATCACTGATGTAAGTAAAATATTCAATTTCAAATAAATGAAGTTCTAAGTTGAGGTCTAACAAGGCTAACCATTAATTGTACTTTCAGATACGCACCATATGCTTTCATTTTTTTGAGGAGTTTTTCCATGTTGACATCCAAATTACTTTCTATGAAATGCTTTACAAAATTGTTTTGCTGTGCTTCCTGAAATGAAAAGTGATAGATGTTACCTCAGGCTTTTCTTCTCTAAGAAAATACAAAATATACATATGTATTAATGCTCAATTCCATTACCAAGATCTCCTGCATGACACTGCAGAAGTCATTTGGCTTGTCCATGTCTTTCCCGCTTAACAGTTTAACATCACACATTTCAAAAAAATGGCAGGGAGGCAGGGAAGAGATTTAGGAGAGGTGGCAGAGGAAGGCACAGATATGTACAATGGAAAAACCTCAGTAAGAAGAATGCTTTTCTTTTACAGTCCATATTTCCCTCATCAGATTTTTTCAGCAGTTTCACATCTTCCTGGCAAAAATAAGCAATGAACAAACAAGTACCAACACCATTTTATTTCCCCTGTTTTTCATTGATACTGGAGCAATACTGGAGATAGTGAGGCAACATTGTTTTTAAGTATTTTCATGTCAGAAGTTTCTCAGCATCAGTTTCTAGGTTCATAACAAAGCAAATCTGCCTCTTTTTCAGCTCTTTTAAAATCTGAAGTCACATATATGGGTGGTTTTGCATGTATAGAAATACAGTCTAGATCAAAGTGCAAAAAGTTGGAAAATTGAAAGATCTCCCACAGTTCACCAACCTGCAGTCGTGAGACTGTGAGGACATTTCCACTGCTTTTGAAAACCTCAGACATTCTAAGCCATGTCTCAGAATAACTCTTCAAGCTTTCCACAAAACCAAAAGTGAAATTAGCCTAGGGAAAAAAAAAATAGAAACAAATGAAGTGAAAGATGTGCACAGTAAATTTTAAGAAACAGAAAAAAGTGGCATGCTTTAGATCTTGTGCAACTCCTTTCCATTCCATTTTGATAGTCAGCAGTAAGAATATCCATGTTTTATTTTTTTTACCTAAGAAATTAAACATATTTTTTTCTATACCAAGCAAATGAAAGTATTCCTGTGCTCTGTATTTTTCCTACCTGAAGTATCAACAAGGACTTCTTTATGTTATGGTGTCTCTTTCGTAGAGAGTATCATGGGGGTGGTTGAGAAAGACAGAAAAAATAAATAAAGTTGGGACATATTGAAAAGAAAGCCTCTCAGTTGTGGGTCTTTTATTCAAACTAGTTTGACTGAGTACATAATAAAACTGAAATTTGGAAGCACAGTTTGGACAATAAATATAACTGATCAATCAATCTCTTTCAAAATACTCTCACAGGGAAAGACTTGAGTAAAGCAAAATATTTTCTGGCGCAGTCAAACACAGGTTACAATTTCTCTCTTAGTAAACAACCAGCAATTTTTTTCCAGCCTGTTTTAAACAGATCATAAGTATACTCAAGACTAGAAAATATTCTTTTTGTTTAAATTGGTGTTATCAGTCACAGAAGTGCATTTAAGAACAATCCAGCAGAGTTGTTATGATAAAAATTGTGACATTTTCCAGCAAAGAGTGTCTGCAGTGAGTTGTAAACTCCAATTTGGGACCACGCTTTTTGCAATAATTCCTGCTGAAAGTATACAATTTCTACCATAGTATCTTAAGTGCCTTTTTCAAAATCTCACTCTTAGCACAACATGAGAAAACAATTTCTGATGGCTCTTTCTTCCTCTTTGCAACACAGAACACTCTAAAGAGACCTTGCACGTAATTTTGTTTACTAGAAAGATATTATGCATTCAACTTCTATGAGAATCCCTATTCCACTTTAAAGTGTGATCATTCATAATGATTAAGGACAAAGTGATCCTAAATGTTAAACCAAATCCTGCTGTCAAGTAGACTGAATAAGTTCTTCTGATCAGAAGTAACACAGAAACCTCAGGAATGAAATCCCCAGACCAGGCACAATGGTGACAAGATCAAGGAGACCAGGAAGGCTACAAGGGTGGCAAACAGGCAGTCTGGGAGATTCCTTTTTCCCAGGATAGAGCAATTAGTTTTAACACCAGAACACAAGGAGATCAAACTTTCAGACACCACTAGAAACTAGTATACCAAGCAGCTTGTAAGGTCTGGACTTAGTATCAGTAGAGCTTAATCCTTCTTAACTTGAGTCTGTATTGCACAAAGGAATATTTATTATATTATTATTATTATTATTATTATTTCACTTAAAAGTAGTTTTGCTTTTTCATTCATCCATTGAATGTAGGCATTTGGGAAGTTCTTGTGTCAGAAGCCTTCCCCACACAGAACAGTTTGGATAATTTCTTATCGAAGCAGCAGTAAAAAATAAAGTCCTACAACTTACCAAAGTGAACAATAAGCAGTTTCCAGGTAAAGACAATGTCCAGCCAAGAATTTCAAAAGTACTCAAGGATTAAATAGCTGAACTACTCACTGTAGTGTAACCTCCTGATTAAAATTCTCTTGTTATGAGGGAAGTGGAAAATAACAAATGCAAAGTTATGATGCTACTAATGCAGACCAATAATTCTGAAATCTAAGAAAGTTTTAAGAGTGGAGGTTTAGCATATTAATTGGCAAAATAATGTGGAAATATTTTAAGTGGAATATTCCAAATGTCATTGTAACATAGAATATAAGTTCAAAAATATAAGTAATATTTATCATTTTTTATAACTCAATTTTTACAGAATTTCCATCTAGAAACATCAAGAATAGCTTTATTTTTAACTGACTAGAAATTTTAGATTAATTATACTGTGCTACAGAGCGATAACTGATATTCCCCAAATTAAGTGATTTAACTGCAAAGCATGACATTACTCAATCCTTTTTTACAATTCAGAGCAGAAACTATAAAGCTACATAGTATCCGCTATCTACAATGGGGGTTTTGGCTTAGTTTTTTGCTATAATTTTAAAACACAATTCATAATACCACAAAGTTTTCAATTTAAAGAGAATATAGTTACCACCACATTTAAAGTTTTATGGTCCTTTTGTGTGCCACTTACAAGCAGCAATTTCTTTTTTCCAAATTTCCATTCTTACAATAATTAATATTGCAGGTTACAAGTCATGTATTTAGAAGATGAATGCAAAATTTTCAGAGAAATCTAAAACAAGTCATAAACCCTTCTCTTACAGAAGTGCCTCTAAGCTAGGCATGAAGAAACATGTCATTGTCAACAACCCCACTCAAAAAAGCAAATCAACCACAGCAGAACTGCAGAGATAGTACAACTCCTGAATGCCATTATCAGCGTCCGCACTTACAGCACCTCAGTTATGACCGGTCACTCAACTACTGGTGTTAGAAACAATCAGTGAGGATGAACTACTGATTACTTAAGTTTTTTTCTTTTTAATTCAGCTCAATGACTCCCTAAGAACAGGCTTTAATTTTTTTTTTATGCAGCCCCATTGCAGTACCCATGATAAGAAAATGTTAAAGGCAAAAGCTTCCCTAGAATATGTGCACCCTACACCTTGATTCAGCACGCTAACCTGTTCTTTTTAATCTTTCTATACGTGCTTCAAAGGACTTTGAGCAAAAGTCTGCTTTTCACACTGAGTTTGAACCACTGTAACAAGTAGGATAAAAGTTAAGAGAAGCATTAAGTTTAAAGCTGGAAACAGGTAAGGGCTCAGGGGGCAGGTTGGATCTATTTTTCTGAAAGGCAATTATCCAATTGCTTCTGCCTACCCTGGAAGAAGTGGACCTTTAAAACAAATTGCAAAGACAAAATCAATACATAGAAATTGTGACATTTTTTGATACTCACCTTCTCCATCACCAGGTCAATCATGCTGATGTTTGAATTGTACAGTATCTTCCCATGTAATAAAGGTTTCAGGAAAGTCCATAGCAAAGCCCCATTAGGAGCCTGCAAAATCTCTTGATAAAGCTTCAAGCAAAAAGGAGCTGCAAAAACAAAGACAGATTCACATTTAAGATTGACATTTTTTTATTCAAATAAAAGCTCAAGTCTTAGAGTCTACCACAGCACCATGCCAAAAAACTGTTATGAGTGTTTTGGTAACAATACCATGCAACTGCCGCTAAGTAATCATTAAAGGTTCCTATAGAAATTGTTTAAACAAAATCTGTGATAGTGTTCAGGATGCAGAATTCTAAACACTGAATAGGAAAAAAAATAGAATCTAAAGAGTTCCTCACATTTCTGAAAAGCAGCCTGTGAATCCCATCTGTCCTAAGTGTTACATTAGTGCATTTTAGAGCAGAAGGACATATGCAAAACCTCTGCCCACGCAAGTGAATTCAGAGGGAAAAGTCACCTTAAAAGAGAAAAAAAATTCCTTCCACACCCTCCATTGCTCTGCAGCTTTAGATTCCTACATAAGAAAGAAGTAGGAATATACAAAACCCTTCAGAAATACAGACTTTCATATTTGTATAATCTTACAAGAACCTGCCAAAAACACAGGCAAAAAATTATCATGACACTCAACTTCTTGATTTGAAAAATCTAATCAATTTTCTTTTTCATTCCTTAATAAAAAAACATATTCCTACATCACACGGGGCTACTAATGCATTAGGGTGTATATCCGTCAGAACTAGGATCTAAGGAATACTTTCCATATATCCCACTGCATTTGTACTCACATGAAGGCAATGAGTTCCTATAAGAAACATTTAGATTTTTATGCCCAACTCATGTGTTTGGGGGTTTTATTATTTATTACAAGTGTTTTCAAAATATCCTGTTTCTAGTGCTCTGAAGAAATATTAAATAATATTAATGAACTCCTCAAGGAAGACAAATCTTTCTACATGATGGAAAACTAGGCCAAAACCATTTAAACTCCTGACAAAATTTAAAGAAAGAAGTATCAGAAATGTTTCATCAAGTAACAGTTCTTTGCCCAAATTTTTACTTTCTTGAATGAAACAACCATTAGTAATCACGATCCTTGCTAAACAATAGTAAAGAATTAAGAGCCTAGAAGTTGGCCAGACATAAATGTCCATAGACTAAGGACACAGAAGACTTGCTAAACTGGGTTTGCTGTGATCTTCAGAAAGTCATTAAGAAGTGTTTGGCATATGCAAAAAACATATAAGTTAATCAGTGTGAAGCAGTATAAAACAAGTTTCTGTGGCTTCAATTTTTTTAATTTTCATTTTCCATTGCCCCATTTACAAATTAGTAAAATATGGGCAACAGTATTAATTCAGTTATGGAAAAGCTGGAACTAACTGATGCCTTAAATATTGTAGAGTTCCATGATAAAAAGCACAGAAGAGCTGTGACAACTTGAAAAAAACAACCAAAAAAGACCGCTTCTGGCCTAAACACCTTTTGAAGAGACTAAGTTCCAAACAATCTCCATCCAGCTGACTTGATTCTTCCAACAGGAAAGAAAAGCAGAGCTGCCTGCTTACCACAACATGCCACACATGTAAGTGAAAAGGCCAAGGCAGAGCTCTGGCTCCCTCCCAAGGGTCCAGCCAAGCCAGGAGCAATTTCTGCCTGAAGAAACCAATAGATGACAGAGGCTTCCCTAGTGACACTCTATCACTGTATTCTTCTCTTGCACAGGGCCACCCGAGGCACTAACAAGGTTATTAACAATATTAAAATTAATCAGGGTGAGTCAAACGTGTATTGAGGAAAGGGAGCAATGGTGAAACTATATGAGAGCTAAGGGATTTTTCTGAGCACTTGACAAACAGAGTAGGAATATCAACCATTAAAAAGCTCATTCTATCCAGAAGTTTTGTATATTTTACTGCTCAATAACACTACAGCTCTGTGTTCACTGAAGAAAGGTAAGCAGCAATAAATTCTCAATCCTGTATCTCAAAGATATGTTTTTAATATGAAGTGCTTTAAAAATGTTAACGAAAATGTTTCAAAGACAGGAAAACTCTTATTTACTATTTGCAAAGATAGAAGAAACAGAATCTCTTCTGTCTCACCCATAATTATCTCATAGCCACTTATGTTTAATTGATCAACACTTTGTGCTCAAGATGACAGTGTCAACTGTGATGTCAGTGAGTACATATACATTTCCATTTAAGTGGAAAAAGCTACTCTTAACTCTGAATTCATACGGCAGCTTGTCAGATTTTTTTTCTTACTTGAGTCTTCAGGAATGCCATATTTTGCCATATTTTCCTCCAAAAGTCCCATGATTCTGGGCATGTCTATGAACAGGTTTGCATTGCTGAAAAATGAAGATTCTTCTTTACATACTGCCTTGATTACAGAATTCAGGGATCCAACAGCTGAACTTCTGAACTGCCCACCCTGCAAAAACTGGAACAAATGAACAAAAAACACAGATGAATCAAAGTTGCTTTAAGTAGCTTCAAGGAGTAGCCCTGGTGTTCTGTCAATATTGATGTCTAAGGAGATTGACAAAATTAGACTCTTGAAAGAGCTGGTTTGGATGAGGTCCTGCTGTGTTCATTTCTATTCTTCTGATCACCATTATTGTGAGGAAAGGTAATGTAGTTTTAATTGTCAGGATACTCAATGAAAGACAGCAGCATAATGTACCACTCTGAAACTAGAAAAACACTGTGTAGCAGTTACGCAGAAAAGGAATGAAAACATCAAGACAACTAGACAATAGATACCCTGATTCTAATGCCAGTTTTCACAAAATGTGCTCCTCTGGTAGATTATTCCTGTGTCACAAAGGCAGCAGAAACAACCAAAGCCATTTTGCTATGAACATTTACAGTGAAGACAGTTGCTAATAAGAGAAAAAAATATTCAGATGCCCTAAAAGTCTATTTTTCAAGTACATCTTTTAACTTGTTAGATGTGCTTACAGTTTTTGCACATCTTGAGTCATACCAGCATTTATTATTGCCATTTGTTCATGACTAGCATACATCTAATGAGGAGAGAGAGCAATCTGACTGCTTTTATGGCTTAAGCACCATCATTCACCACATTCAAAAGCAAAGAAGAACAACAATAGTCTCATCCTCTGCGCAGCTCCACTTTTCAAATAATGGGCTTGGATTGTAAGTGATATCTCATGGAAGTCTGTACAGGTGCACAGCTCTAAGAGGACACAACTGCAAGGCATCTTGCTGCTGTGGTGCAAATGAAGAGTGCACTGGCTCGCCTCATACTCATTACTGCAGCAGATGCTTGTCAAGAAAGGCATAACTAGACTATCAGACATCATTTCAAGACTCCACAACTGGCAAGTAGAAAAAACACTGTGATATATCAAACACAGACATTCAGCTCAAGAAAAAAAATTAGCATTCTATTGCTGAAATTTTTTTAAACAGAAGAGTCAATTTTCAAAGTAATACAGCACTTTACATAAAGACATAATCACAGACAGTTTGGAAATTGCGCTGTTAGAAACAGTTTATCCTGATCAATGCATTTATTGAAGTGTCAGGTGCTTCTTTAGTAATCCTGGAGGAATATTAGTAAGTGCCTTCTAAAACTCAGTGTTAGCTGCTCCCAAAATCTTACTTTTAGCATACAGATTCAGCACAGAGAAAAGTAAATAAGTAATACCCATATTTCATAATAAAATCATCCACAGCCCTTGAATGAATCTGCTGGCATGGACTTCACTGGAGAAATAAACTTTATTTATGCACAATGCTGTATAAAATTGGTTATGAATCTTTATTAGTGACTATTTGCACTAGAGGGATAAATGAGGCTTATTTCAGTCAAAGAGCACAAACGTGCTAATTAATTCCAGTTCCAATCAAAATAATTTGAAATTGAAATAATGAATATTTATGCGGTAAGCTGCCACTAACAGGCTGAATCTACTTACTGTCTTTCAACTAAATATCCATTGACTCAAAAAAATATGTTTCTTAAAATTTGGCTTTGATAAAGTATGAGGAATATATAATATGGCTCCCACCAAAAAAAAAAAAAAAGAGCTATCTTTGATCTAGTTTAAACTGTATAAAGCAGGGCTGTAATCAAGGCTGATAAATCCAAACAACCAGCCTCTTCTACAAACTAATCAGTTAAGCAAGCCACTGTAGCAAAGTCATGGAAGAGGAAGCTGGTGTGGAAGATTAAGAGGTTATCTGGAACTGGATTTTCAAATAGAGGCAAAAACCTCATAGCATAGGAGCATCTGACCTAACAGAACAGCTGTATGCCAAAAATTGTTATTAATATAAACAAATTCACATGGAATAGAAATACCAGTTATTCATAAAAAGAAACTTCAAAGTCATACTGGGCTACAGCTTGCACATAAATCTAAAATACATTCTGAATCATTACATTAGAGAGAAAGAAAGAGAGAAAAAAAATAATGCAAATTTCCTGGAAAACTACAAGGAGCTTAAAGAGAATTCAAAATTTGACGGAACCATAGGGCTAAAGGTAATAAATTCAGACAAATAGACAATCCTAATTCTTGGGAAAAACATAAACAGAGCAAAGTCTTTTTCATCCTGAAATTGACAGAATCAGGGGAATAATAGCAAAATCGCTGATTTGATTAAACAGTTTTCAGAAGCCTATCAAATTTACTATTTATGGCACTATTTGAAAAGTAGAAAAATCATGTATACTCAAGAATGAGAAGTATAATGATCCAGAAAATAATAGATATCTGGTTCCAATGTTTATTAGACCAAGATATACAGTGAAATTTCAGGGGAGAACATTAAAGAGAAAAAATATTTGAGAAGTAAAATTTAATGCATTCTCAAGTTATCATGCCTGACCAACACAACATATTTACGTGGGAGGGCAGTTTCTTTCTCCACAAAATGTTACAAGCTGACTCCAGTTTAGGTGAACTCTAGCAACCAATTAATGCTCATGCTCCAGAAAATATTAATCATCAATTAATCCAACTGCTGAATAATAGTGGTGAAAAAAAATGGCATTAAGACAATACTGCAGGGAGCCTGTTAACAGAAAAGAAGGCACAGGATTACAAAGAAGTTGTTAGTGTTTTTCCTGTGAGCCCTGAAAGAAACATATTGCCTAAATTTGCCTTTCATTTAATATTGGAAGGCATTTCAGGAGAAAAGGAGATAAGAACCCAATATGGCAAAAAACCAAATGCCTAAATCAAAGCAAGTTGAATAGAAATATAACCAGTGCAAAATCTTATTTATCAACGGAAATCATGAGATGTTACTATAAAGTGGAGGTCACCTCAGTATATCACTCATCCTTAATCATCTAAGAGACAAAACTGTGCAGCTTATGAAAAAGTTGAATACGAGTTTAGGAAAGTTATTTTAGTAGGTATAGACAAGAATGAGCAGGCTACAAGAGTCATCAGTTGTAATTCCCCTCAAACAATGCACACATTTCTTCTTCCAGACTTTCAGGATTAGCCTTAAACCAGCATGCAAAAATAATGCTAGGCTGTCTTAAGCAACTGAGAGCCTGATAGAAAAAGCTAAAACAAAAAACAAATGCTAAAATAGGTCCTTGAACCTATCAAAACAGAAAAGGACTGCAACTGGCTTCCACACATATATGGACAAGCCAGAGAAGTTAAAAATGCTCCAGAACATTTTTGATACAAGAATAAACATAGTAGCTACAAATAAAACTAAGTAAGAATTGTGTTCATTTAAAACCCCAACAGATTGTTCTACAGTGATAGGTTCAACAGAGAATTTGTTCAAGATAGTGGAAGGATTACAGAGTGAGGCCACCTCTCACAATTAGCAGCATTTAGCAACTCAGGAAGTCCCCTGCAGCTTATCTGTTGATGAGTGACAAGCATCCAAAAAATTAGGTATGAAAATATAAGTGAATGATTTCAAACAGCAAAACACAAGCACAAATCATTGTTGAAACCAGCAGTGATTTTCTTCAGGGAGTTATCCATTCACTCAGTGTTTTTAACAGTAGAATCTGGCACCATATTCCAGTTAATGCTGATAGGTTTTACATCATCTTTTATTAAAATACATATACCTTTTCAATTCAACTTCACATTTTACAGCTATATTAAAGTTATTTCTGCCTTTACAGTTTTTCTTTCAGACAGAAATCCATGTAGATTAGTATGCATAGTTGACAATTCCTTTATTATCTCTTTCATTATAGAAGTATTTTTTTAAATTAACTTCAATGTCTTTCTGACAAAGGTCCACATATTTTACCCCAAAAACATTTACATTTTTTATCTGATAAGCTTTCAATGTCACTGAACTACTTTGCTCTTGGTAATCATGAAAACAAAAATCCATAAGGATGGACTCTTTTGGAAATTGAAGAAAACATTTAAAGAGGGAAGTGTGTAAGCAGTATACAAACTTCAGAAGAGCACTTACTCAATAGCACAAGTTTGGCCACCATAGAACAGAAGCAAAAAAAAACCAATAATTAAAACTTACTGGAAAGTATAAAAAAAAAATCAATTTAAACAAAAAAAAAAAGGAAACTTATACTTTTACTAGTCTTTGATTTTAAAAAATGTTATGGAGACAGAATAGCCCTGGAAATCAAAAATGTAACTTATTAATAAAACAAATAGGCACTGATTATTTTAATCTTCCACAAATTATTAGGTGATCAATAAGCCCCAGCAATTTCATAAGTAAAAGGGATTTAGAAAAATATTAGAAAATAAAGATTGTGTGAAAAAGAAATGATCAAAAAAGGTTAGAAGTAAAAAAGAACAAAACTTCCAAGGTTAAATCTATGGTAAATTATGGGATAATAGAAGTGGCCATCGAGCAAAGCTTAAAACTGTGAGAAGATGGCCCTCTGCTGTTCCATTTGTTCTTTTGCAAACTTTTTTTGAGCAGCAAAAAAGTTCATCAAATAAGGAACTGTGGGATTTTTCTCCATAAGGAATATTTCATTTATTGGAAGGAAAGTCTGACACAAATAGAGCTAGTTTAAGGAAAGCAGAAAAAAAGGCAAATGTCTGGTGAAAGTCACCATTAATTGCAGCAGCCAAAGAGCTACCTAAAAAAAGAGAGGTTCAAAACTGATAGATGCACCAGAACAACATTTTTCAACGTGTCTCTATCACACAAAATAGAAGATCTTGAAAAATGTATCACTAAGGGCAATAGTACGTAGGGCAGAGTTTACTCTGTACTCTAGCAATAAACCAGATTGCACCATCTATCACTGTGGGGTCTCTCAGAGGTTTGCAATTTTAAACCAGATTCAGTCCTCAGGTTTCCACAAAGGACAACAAACCCAAAAAGTAATGCCATGAGGGTCAGCATGTCTTCCTATGGAATTGGAACCTGCTTAGAGATAGAAATCTTTCTGATTATTCATGTAACACTAGATCCACCACCGTGCTAGCTGTGCATTCAGCAATGGCCCTAAAAGGCAGAGACAAAAGAAATACCCTCACTCACACCTCATGCCACTTTTTTTTAATGTCAAGCAGAACTATCACACAAACCCCTTAGGTGACATGGACAGAAACACAAGGCAGATAGAAGAACTGCATAGACTGCCTTGAACTCATATTCCTTAAAAAAGCAAAGATATTTCTTGTTAAAAAAGTAATGGTCTGCTCCCAAAAAAACAAACAAAAACACAGTATTAGCAGAAAATACCTGGCTAGCTATCCCCAAATCACCGATGATAGATAATGTTAGCCAGTTGACAAGCACTGAGGTAACTTAGACTAGAATCTCATAAATTAACAAAAAAGGAGATGACAGAAACAACACAACACTAGTTTTAGAATTACCAGACTGCTTGAAAGAGACCAAATGAATCTTCCTAGGGTTTGTGGACTCTTCTTAGCATTCCCTACTTTCTAGGAAATAATTTCTATTAGTGTGCCTCCTTACTAAGCACATATCCTTACCTAATCATCTCACAAGGGGAATTAATTTTGCATATTGAAATCCTACACATACCTGCTGCAATGCAGAGATGTCAAGCACACCAATATTTTGAATTCCTTGGAGGAACACTGGAAGCTTTTCCATGACATGTTGGACTTTATTGAGAAGTGAACTGATACTAGAAACCACATCCAGTAGCAGATTTAATACATTGCCTACCTCAGGTGGTATCTGGACCTTGGAAAAGAAGGAAAAAAAACCACAACGGGAAATTCCAGTTAGAAACAAACGCTAAGCTTTCAATGAAGCATGCAAAATTATTCAGTCTTTTTCCAAAACTGATAATAAAATGTTCCTACAAACCATGTTTAACAAAACTCCTTTTGATATAACTCCCTGGTTACTCTCAGATTAAGCTGAAGAGAAGTTCTCCGTAATTTACTGTTAGATCAGGCTTATGACAAAACAGAAATTAATATTCAGAAATCATGTTTACAACTGCCAAGTTGAAGAGAGCTTTCCAACCCAAGATGCTAATGGGACCTGCAACATTCTATCCTTTTAGAATTCAGTGAAAATAGAAACTTGTCCTTCACCACTTTAAAAATGTTCAATGCAATAATTTCATACTTTAAAAATAATTTGTAACTTAAATTTAGAAACCACTTTTATTGCTTAATATGACCCCTAAAGTAACTAACTTTCCTGCCACACTCTTCCTGTCTTTGAATTTTTCATGCTGAAAATAATTGTGTGCATTTTATCACCTACTTGACCTAAGTTCAATTGGCTGTTTGCTATTTCCACCATGCAAATTTGTCATTATGGATTTTCTCTCTGTTCCCTTTGCTTTTGGGGATTAGTTAGATGATATGATAATACAAATTGATTCATTGTTACCTGTCTGTGCAAAATAATAAAACCAGTATAATCTCATTATATAGTTTCAGTGCTCCCTGTGATTATCTATTTTATCCACCTTTGTCTTCCTACTATAATATCTGTGCTTGATTTTCTCCTCAGCCTTACATAGTTAAGAGAAAAAATTGAAAGACACCCATTAAAAAAAATCTTGTTTTGCTAAAAAATTGTGAACTTCCATTATAATTTAAGATGAACTGACAACATTTTTTACTCTTTGTTAGAATTTGATTAGGTTTCTGTAGATCTCAGTAGAAACACTCATTGGAATAACCACTGGCTTATTTTATTCTATTTTTTTTCCCTAGGTTTGCAGACAATTCAGGAAGTAAAGTCTTTTCTTTCCCCTCAGGCATCTTTACCTACAGTGGGAAATTGTCTTATTTTTAAAATTCTTTACCTAATCTGCTCAACTGAGCATGCAGCAGCCAGAATAAAACATGAAACATCCAGAATACAATCAGAGTCCTATGGCTTTAGAACAAGCCATTCTTCCTCACAATGTTATAAGGATATTTCAGCTATTCATGTTCACATTTTATGTTCTGTCAATCAATTACCCCCAAAAGAACTGAACTAAATGTCTTCTAACTATCCATTCAATAATTCTGCTCTTACAGATAAAACCAGAGTCTCACTGAATATCCACACTAGATTCCAGATTATCTATAGTTATACGGGTAACACAGTTGTGCTGTAGACATCCCCATCCACAGTGCTATGAATTCTTCCTAGAAAATAGTTTTGTCATTCTTGCGATGTGAGCAACTATGCTGGTTTTAGTTCAAATATTGACAGATCAGTCTTCCACTCTTACAAATAATGAAGTGGCTAATTGCATGAACTGCAAACTCTGCTAAAGATTATTAAAAATATGTCTTTGACCTCCTGTGTTTTCTGCAAAGCTTTTGTAATTAACTCCTCAGTGATAATTTTCCTGAAGATCATCTATCAGACCCATTTTTCAACTGTTCTATTTGGGAAGCCAAAAAAAGACAATAGATGCCATATGTCTTCTGTTTGCTTTCAAGGAGAAAGAACATCTGAAGAAAAAACATAATTATTAATCTATCTACCGGTATGTTTCATATTACCTTCCAATAAAACATCTTACCTTGTAAATGATGTGACGGACATTCAAATTTTGTATAATCAATACAAACATGGTATACAAGTCCAGTGCTGGTAAAGAGCATAATTCTTCCACTACCAGGGAAGTTCTATTGTTTTCAGGGAGCTTTAGCAGCAGGCTAAGTACTTCTTCATCACATCTTCCAGTTAAAGCTATCACAAAAGCCCTGTAAAGAACCTATCACAATATATGTGTATTAAAATTTTTTCTCTCTGAAATGCATCACCTTTTTTTATAGTCAATAAGGTGAAAATTTGTGTCACAGTAACATGATAATTTGCAGGCACCAACAGACAGGAAATAATAAACCATACAGCTTTATATCAGATTGCTATATTCCTACTTTATACTCCTTGTACATATAAAAAGATTAAGCATATTTGCTATAAGGATTTGCTTTCGTTTTTCACAGGTCAATCATTCATTCCTGAGCATTCATACCATAAGCAGGCATATTTACAATGCTGAGTATACTCCTTCTAGCAGATATACACCTCTGCTGCAGAAACACCTGAAGATCAAAGTGTGTGAATCACTAACATGAAACAATATGGTCCTTCCTTCTTTCAAAGGACACAAATTAACACATGGGGATGTCAATATGGCATAATGTCTGCTCTGAGCCGGCTCACATTTCTCAGTTAAACACTGCTTTAAAGTATTATTTAACAGCAGATAAAGGGACAAATGCCTAAGCAGACCCTGGGTGAGACTATAATAAAACATTCTTGGATAAAGGTTTGAAGTGCTTGAAGCCCAGATATCTCAGGAGCTCTTAGCTACCCATTCTCAACAAGTCCAGAAAAATTACAAGTTTTGTAGGAGCCTGTAGTAGCCGAAGAAAAAGGCTCCATTGTACTGCTTAGGACAAAATCTGCCTCTACCACCTCCACTGAATGCATCTCTTGCTGCTAATAGTATTCAGTCAGGGAGAGGGTCTGCAAGACAGTCAGGATATGCAATTTAACTCTTTAATTCCTACCAACAATTTATTTTTCAACTTAATAATTAGATTTTTTTTAAATTTCATTCTGGAACAAAATTTTTCCTTTGTGATTCTACAAGGTTTTCTATGTATTTAAAGATTCACTTTTTTGTGTATGCATTCAAGGAACAGAATGCCAACATAATTCAGTGGGCAGTAAGATGATACTGATTTGGACTTCTTGCTGGGGAGGAAATTTGACTGTGATTCAATTGGAAATTTATTTCAAATGTGCCTCACATGTAAATCACCATTTCAGTGCAGTTTTAACACATTCTATGTTTTATCCCCTAGGTTAAGTTCCTCTAAATTTCCTTGCAGCTTTCTGAGTACCAGAGCTAATCCAAACTCCTACACTCAGTAAATGAATGCTTATAGTCTTCAGGTCACAGGTTTTAAGTGATTTCAAATCATTTCATCACTTGGCAAAGAGCATGGCCAGCACAAAACATTGGGGCAGAAATTGCGGGTAAATACAATAAGCACAAAAAATTCCCAGGGTTACTCTTACTGTTCCAGGGGAAAGCATAATAGTGGTATATAATCACAGAAATGCAGGGCTACAATGGGCCTATAGCTATCATTAGGTTATCAGACAGTGGCTTTATAGACAATAAACATAATGGGCATGCCTAAAATACAGCTCTAGAAAGCACTTCTGCAGCTTTCATAATTAGTAAGAGACACGGGCCCTTAATGCTCCAGTTGGACTGGGGGGGTGGGGATTTAAGCACTAAGCAAACAAAAAATTCTGTATCATTATCCAAATGTGAGATGTGTGTATATATCTAAGCTCTGCATAAGACTGGCAAAAAGTAATAATGGAAAGTAATTTGACAATTCAGCCAATTAACATTATTATTCCAAAGGATCAAAGGTGCACTGAATCCCATTTAACTGAATTGCTTTCAGATGATTTCTCTCATTACCATTTAGTGGTATCACAATAACAAGCTAACAATAAAGGCAGTCACACTGCCACAGAAGCAGAAGAACAAATCATCTATAAGTAGTTATGATGGTCTGAAATGCCTTTTTAATGCTGCTCTTTTCACAAACAGAGCTTGCGGCAAGCAGAGCATCACTGACACCCAGTGGCTGCTTGACTGAGCTGATCAATTTTCACCAAATGTACCCCCAGCTCTTCAACAGACACTCACAGCAGAGAGAACCCATTAGGAAGCTAGCATTTCTCATGATTTCAACTGGTCACTGGGATCACAGGAAAAAGCTATGGTCCTTTCCCTCAGAAAATTACTCAAAAGTCAACACCTCAAAGCGAAAGTAAAGCAATACAGTGGTAAGATAATGTAAGAACAGTGAGGAACAGACAAAGGAATTTTAAAAAAAATATACACATAAGACAACTCCATACCACAAGGAGCAGATCTGATAAGATACAAAATTTCTAGAAACCCTCATCTTTTCTACAATACCAAGAGAGCAAAGCATCAATTCTGCATCAGTACAAGAGGGTAAAACATTGTTGAAAGTAATGAAGCCGTGCCATTTAGACCAGCGGAATAGCACAACTATAAATTGATCCCTTAATGTATCACAATATTACTTTAAAGTCCTAAAACTCCTAAAGTATTTCATGTGGAATTATAAGATTCCACACAAACAAAATGGCTTGTTTTTCTTCAGCTGGCACACCATGCTGTAGATTAACCCACTAATTTGACACCTCTTTTTGATCTTTTACCTCTGAATGAGAGACACTGGCTTCCAAAAGGGTATTGACAGTTTCTTCAGAAATATTGACAGAAGAACCAATATCCAGCCTCAACCGAGTAATATTCTGCACAAAATCTTTGACTTTCACATCTGGAAGAGAAAAAAATAGTACCAACAGCACCAAATTTATTAATTAGATTTCCTACAGATTGTATCCTTTCAATTCAATTCACTGTGTGTGACAAAATTGCCTTATGTCAATAGTAGTAGTGTAGTAATAAATACTATCCCTTTGAAGTTGGAAAAACAAAGGAACAGTTATTGTCCTACAAAATTATATTAAAATAGCAAAAGTGAAGAAAACTGGAACCCACCATTCACAAGATTAAAATTGTTGAGGAAAGCTGCTGCTGAGTTCTCCGACAATTGTAGCTCCAAATTTTCAGTCACCCTGGAACGAGAGGCTTAGTGTCACAAGGTATCAGAACCAAGCCACTGGCATTTCGATGTATAAAGACAGACATGAACAGTGAAACAGGACTAAAAGAGGCAATAGGGTCCCACTGTGCTCTGTGTGCGCACAGTCAGCACCTCTACAGACGCTCTCATGCAGTATTTACACGGTGCAGTGGTCATCATATCTCATGCCTAAATGAGGCTGCATATGTAGAGATACAAATGTGCAACTCTACATATATACATATGTAGAGATAGATTCCCATAATGGCTAAGGGCCCTAGCAAACAGCAGCTTACAGAAAAGGACAGGTCGAGCAATATCTCACTTCCATGTTTCTCACTGAACACACAATTTTAAAACCTAGAGATACAAATCACTGCAGTTCAGGATGAACAGAAATCTATCTATCTAACTATAATTTAAATAATAAAGTGTATGCACACATTAAATATGGTTTTCTCTTCAAAACTGGATATGAGCCCATGGTGTTTAGGAGCAGCCTCTAGGCTCAAGTTCTTCGGTATTGTTACTGTAATTCTCAGACACCATTCAAGCCTGTTTTGAAAACAATCCAATTGGTCAAACCAGTATAGCAACAATTATAACAATGTCTACTTCTAGCTGATTTCAAATTTGAAACACTCTGTGATAGCAGCTTTACCTAAAATCGAATGGCTTTCCCCATGCAAATAACAATCAGAAGTTGTTTGGACTTCCATCAGTTTACAATCACTGTACTGTGTTTCTAACTCTTTGAACTGCTGAACTGATTTGCATGCTTAATATTTCACAAAAAGATAATCAGCTTTTGAGAAGAAAAGCCACATTAAAAGAGCTATAAATAAAAAATTGTATCAAAATTTTGACCCAACTTGAGTCAGAGGAAATTGAAAATTTTCTTAGTTGTGATCCAAAGCATTCAGCTGGTGGAGCAGCAAGATCTTATGCAAGTTCTTTGCAAAAAGATGGAAGAGTTTTTAGGAATATTCAGTTATTCTGAATTACTTAAATAATTTCTGTATTTTATCCACTGAATATGAAGTTAAATGAACAAAGCTCAAAAAGACATATCTCTCCTGTAATCACTTAGTTTAGAACACAGACATATGCACAGAAGAACGTCACTAACGATGAGGAACCATGGGGTACCAAAATGTGAAAAGCTTTACATTTGCAGTCGTCTCTGGACATTCCCCAACATTAGCTGGCATTCACAGCTGTCACTGCTGGTATTTTGCCAGGCTCCCACAAAGCTCTCCAAATCATTGGAAAGTTTTTGGTTTATATATGCCATACTCTCACAATCTCCCTTGTTGAAAGCGGTCAAGTATCTTCCAGCATCCTGCAGAACACAGTGATCACATGGTTAGAAAATTCATGAAATTGTGTTATAGCTAGAAGTGGCAGCTCTCAGCAACTAGATGATTTGTAGCTTCAAATGAGAATTTGGGTAAGATAATATTCTCATAGTCATTGTATGATTAACTGAAACTGGAATAAGTGTTTTCAAGAAGCAAGGAATTTTCAAATATCTGAGTTTTGGAAACAATCAGATCGGGAATTTGAACTAGCCTGTCAAGAACAGTCATCCACTAATAGAAATGGCAGCCTTTTAAAATTTGTTTCAAAATTAAATGAGCTGTTCTTTTTCCTTTTTTATTTTAGTCTGACCATTTTATCTTTTTCCAAAATACTTGTTTTGAACATCTGTTTTGATTCAACAAACCAAAATATCTGGATCCTCATATCCAAAGCTTTTCATGTATTATGCTCTGCATAGTATGCACTTCTATGTTTTCTCCTGAATATTTACAATGTTAATTTTGCAAAGCTTTTAATATTTGCAGAAGTAGGTCGTAGAAGGGGGGTGACTACACAACGCATTTGGCCTGCAAAAGTCTGCTTTGAGTAATGCCACCTGTCACTTGTTTAACACATTGCTGTTCATATCAGTAAAATGTCCAGGTAGACACAGCAGAAGAGCTATTTAATAAAGAGAAGACAGATTCTATACTAAAAAGCACGACTTTAGTATTTTTATCTGTGTACACCACATTTGCCTGTGTACACACGTGTGCTATCCAAAGGCCTGCTTCCAGCTCTGGATGAGCCTCTATATGCCAAATATTAATCTCACCTGCTAGCAATTTCATGTTAAAGAAAAACAGACTGAACCCAACTGGTAATCATAACTGTTATTTTAGCCTTAATTATTCTGGCTAAGAAGTCCATTTGTTCCTACTTTAATTTCACAAATGTTCCTGTGAAGATTTTAAGGTATAAATGTATTATAACTCATCAAATTAGCAGAATGATGGAATTTAAAGAAATTAAAAATGGGCTGCTGTTTGACATTGATTGACAAGCCAACTATCCTAGTTATAGGATTTCTAATAATTCAAAGTCATAATTTCAGCTTTTAAAGCTCACCAATACCTATTTAAGGAATTTCTTCTGGGTATCTCTATCAGAATTATCAGAGCTATACCTATTTAAACCTCAGGTTTGTATAGCCACTGTGGGGACTTGTCATTCAGACAGTGGGGAAAAAGGAAACTTTCATTAGTTTCTGAAGTTTAATGTATGCTGTAAAGTAAACTTGTAGGTGAGGGAATCATTCAGACCTGATAGTGATCTTGAACCACAGCAATCCCTTCAAAGACAGCAAAGAGCAAGTGACTCATTAATCCATCTTTACACTTTGTAATGGCACAGAAAATGTTGCTAAAGACAATGGGTTCTTCTGTAAGAGAAAATGTCCAGATTTAATCAGACAAAAAACCAACTTGAAATCAAATTTAAAGTTGGCCAACAAGTAAGGGAGAGAAAATTTGTTAAAAGGAAGGAACATTTGATGTGCTAAGGCACAGAGAAATATTTCTAACTAAATGTATGTATCATTTCAGAGAAAAAAAAAAGGCTGGTTTCATTCAAGTTCAGTTCCTCTTCTCCATTATATTTTTATGATCAGTAATGAGAGCATCCCTACCTGCTACAGAACCAGAGAAGACCATTTCCTTTTCGCTCTTCATGAGCAAGAGCTCATGACTCTGAGAAGCTGAGTATATTAACCACATCTACCTTTTCCTCAGGCAGTGTCCCCTGATGCTATTTCCCTCTAGGAACACTTGGGTGTTGGTAACCCTCCAGTGAGCAGTAACATTCAAACCCAAACTACACGGGGAGGAAAACAGCATTACACAGGTATTTTCCATATGTTGGGATAATGAACCCATATAAGGTGATAGTATTGTCTCCCTGGTCATCCATGGAGACTGTTTCTACCCAAGCTTGAAGCCACCATATCCTTGGAAAAAGCCTCCTTTCTGCTGTATGCAGTGGGTTTGTACATGGGATAGCAGTGAAGGAATTTGCCTTGACTGCTGCATTTTCATTCAGTATCAAGGCAATTTTTAGAACTATGTTTTTTTTTTCCTTAAGATTGTTTCTTAAGTCAAGTAGGAAGAATAATAAACATTAAACACTGCTTCTAAAACAAGCAAACCTTGATCTTGCTCATAGAAGCAACACAATACTGTTCCTCAAATCACACCAAATCAAGCAGTTTTCATTTTTTCTCATTAGGTTTCATAATATTTTCTGTAACAAATGAAACATTCCCACAAACAGAGGATTGAAATGACAATGACAGAAATTTAGTTCCCTAATCTCAGTTCTCTCAATAAAAAGACTGTTCTTCAGAGGTCAAGGACAGAACACAGGTACTGGTCTGCACAATTGCAGTATCACTTATCCTAGCTCAACAGCACTACTGTTTTACTATTTGGAACTACACCCCTCACAGGAGAGTGGAGAAGACAGCCAAAACTGGGTTGTAATCACATCTTACACACTTTTGGAAATTAATTTAGCATAAGGCATTACAGATTTCGTCCCTTGCCCTAGAAGGGCAGGTTAATGTCTCCTAATTACTCTTTACAAACAATTCGGGGCATAGTTGGCTAAAATATGAGCTCTGAAAAGCACTGGCTTTTGTTCCCCAAAGAAATAATAATACGAATTTATACTCAGGTCAATATCTATATTGAAAGGTTTTAGCCTTTCTTAAATTGCACAACTTGGGAGCATATACACAAGGAATAAAACAAGGTAACACATTAAAATTTGAACAATTTGTTGAGGGTGAAGTTTTTCAGCTACAGGTAGCCAATTCACTGGTATGACAAGGCCAGAAGTGAGAGAGGCTACTTCCTTTGAATACTTGCCCCATTTTTCCTTACTGTCAAATACACACTGCCCTGTGGCAAGTCTGGCTCATTAAAAAAAAACCCTGTGACCTGACTAAGCTCACTAGCTGAGGAGGAGCAGCAAGGTCTCCTGCTTTCCCTGGGATTTTAAGTCTACATCAACACTCCAGAAAGGAATGTTTCCTTTGTGTGATCTGTATCAGATTTCTTCGTGGGCCTCTGTTGGTTTAATTTCCAGGCATCAGTATGCTTGCTGTGCTTGGCCTCACCCAAATTACCTTATTTGTACAAAAGTTTGCTTAGAGTAAAGCCTTAACTTAACAACACTAACATATGGGTCCCAGAGTCACTACTGTGGTAACCAACCTGAAAAGATTTTGAGAATATTCAAAATGGTGAATTGCAATTTCTGCAATAGTAGGACACTCTCAGGGTATAAACGTTCCTGAAGAATGTTGCAGATTTTAGATGCTCTGTAGAAATATCAATAAGAAAACATTATTTTCATTCCAAGGGCACCAGAGAAAAATTTCAAGTGACAATGGACAAATACAGTCTTCAATGAACCACACGAGGATTTCAGTATTAACAGTTATTACATTTGGTTGAACAATTTCAAAATCAGAACATAATACTTCCATGTTAAAAAACATACCCTAGGAGTGCTAGAAAACACCTTCCCAAAATAAGCAAAATCATAATGGCTTCAGAAATACTGAGAGGACACAGAATATGTTGATTTGATGGTAAAGAGCAGATAACTAGCATGTAGGGAAAATAAACCACTTTTCTAGTACTTGCTTTTGATATTTTTCAACAGATTAGGTTAATAATTGGCCCTGATGGACAATGGTTTCATGTATTTACATAAAATTAATCGTAAAGGTCAAAATGCCAGATCACAGCATCAACTTTACAATGCCATTTTTCAGCTGGTTTATGTCAGTAGGACCAGTAGCCCCACCAGCAAGATACCCTAGAACTGTTTGGAACAACCAACTTGTGTCTCATTCAATTTTGTTTAAATGCAGCAACTCCAGACCTGCAGCATTTTTATTAAGTAAACCATCAGTAAATCTGAAGCCGTTTCCTCTGCTTCTGAATTACATCTGATCTGTGTAATCAGGCAAATATGATTGTGGGCTCAAGATTCCTTCAGACACTGCATTTATTAAACTGAACAGCTTGACTCAATAGCCATAAGACGTCAACAAATTTAAGTTTAAGAACCTTTGTATAGCTGTATTTGGATATAGAAAAAAAACCTCCACTCACGCCACAAAGAATTAGACGCAAGCATTCCTTAACATTTAGCTCCAAAGGCAAAAATGGCTGTTGCCTGCCAATTAGTGGGGGCACAGCATTCAGACTTGCAAAGATTTTAAAACACAAGTATCTTCAAATAATTGTTTCTATAATAGCTCCAAAGAAACCAATTCAAGTATCAACACATATAACTAAATACATATTGTAAATATAAACTAAACACAATAATCTAGTCCATACAATGTGTTCTAATACCAAATACAGCTGGTCTGAACAACATAAGTTGGAACAAATCTGAAATGAAACACTAATTAATATTTAATAAAAGTTTAATAAAAGTTTTAATAAAATTTAATAAAAGTTTTGATTGAGTTGTTCATAAACAGACAGTCCTTCTGTCATTGTCAACACATTTTCTAAAATAAGTACATGGAAAACACTTACCTCAGTTCTGCCATTACATCCTTATGCAAATTCATTAGTAAGAGTTTTATTTTATTCCTGTCATGTTCTGCAGTGGACTGAAATATTATTTGCAAAATCTCTTCCATGATCTCCAGAGTTCTGCTTTGGGACTGAGTAGAAGTGTCTCTATACGGTGCATTATAAAAAAATGAATCAATAAAGTCAACTTCGTGAAGCTCGGTATTGTTTGCACGCAAAGCTTCTTCTACAACATCAAGATCAGCAATTATGTGAAGGAGGCTGTTTAGCAAAACTGAAAAAGCAGAGTGAGTATTGTTCAATTTCTGTCTGCTAAAATGACTGTCCCCAAACAACATACCAGTATAGTCCTTAGACTTATTTTGGAATAGCTCCAGAAAGGCAATAATATTTTTGACAGCCAGCAGCAGGTCATTTGATGAACTTTCATTAGCCATAAGGAAAATTAGAGCATGCATCATTTTAGAATAATTTTTATCGTTACACTCACATAGAATGATATTCACAATGTCTTGTAGATCTTCAAAATTTCTTGATATGGCATCTACAGATGATGTCTTAAACTGCTCTAGTAAGACATCAGGAGCCATTTCAGAGGACTGTCCAGTGGCCAAATTTAGTAATTGAAACCCTTGATCTATCACCAAAAGTAAGTGTCTAACAGTAAAATTCACCAATAAATTTTCTACGCTTGTAACTACAGGAAACAAGAAGTTGTCACTTATATTGGTGTTCCCACTTAAAGATGATATTGTCCTAAGCATTGCATGTGTCTGGTTTCCAACAGATGAGAGCGTCATTAAAGGCTGAATTGCAGAAAGAAAAGAAAGAACAGCTTCAGTATTCAGAAGTCTGGAAACTTCACTGGTCATATTCTTAACATTAGTAAGAACACTCTGAAGTGATGTTCTTGACTCTCTGTTCCAGCTTAGGCCATCATAAAGATTATCCAGCTGTTCAAGAAGTCTTTTGGCCATCTCCATTTCTGACATTGAAATGCTGCCCAGAGTTTCTACGATTTGTAAAGCCATTTGGCTCTTTGGTGTGGAGGAACAGTTGATTGCATGTGTATTATTCACCTGCAGTGGCACAGCATAAAGGGATAGCTCATTCCAAAAATCTAGCAGCTCTTTGAGAACTGGGCTATTTATATGATGGAGCTCAGAAAACTTCAAAATTATAGAGTTCCATTCTTTAATCTGATGAAAAAAGCAAGTCAGATTACGAGTGATATCCATCTGAATGTCCTCCATAGAACAAGCGAAACTGTCATCCAAAGTGATGAGTTTAAGCTCCTTAATGACTTCAATGACTGCATTGTAATGCAAAGTAGAATTGGTGTGCACCATGTCACAGGGTTTAAGAGTGGCATCATTCTGAGGTGTTGCTGTTGTGAGAGTCCAGCAGAATGATGCAGAAAAACAACCAAAGGCCTCTTCAGATTCATCAGAGATGTCTGCCAACATCTCCAGCAATGTTAGAAGATCTTCTACTTGGTTAGAGAACTCCTCATCAGTAAACATTGGCATTTTTTCTTCCTGAGTTAGTATGAAAGCATATATTTCAGCTAGTGCTTCTGTAACATTTCCATGAGCCAATCTTTCTGTAAGGCTGATGACATCAAAGAGGAGGTTGAACACATCTTCTGTATTGTAGAGCTCATCGTGTTCAAAAAGCTGTGTTATTTGGTGTATACCAGTCAGGTTCCAGTAACATGATATGTTCTCAAATGCATCCCACCAGTCTGTTAAGGTACCTAACCCAGAGTTCTCAAGGTTAAAAGGTTTGATATTTTTAAAGAAACTTTCTAGGTTCTCCTGGACCTGTTTGAATCTACTTATCAAAAACTCAACATCCATGTTACTCATGATTTGCACCAAGGCAACCATATGATTTAGAAGCTCCTTTTCGTCTCTTAATGGAATGTCAACAAAAGTAGGGGACTTGAAAAGTTCAAGTGCCTTCCTTACCATTTCAATATTCAGACCTGCTGTTTCTATCAATTTCTGAGGAAATGTTTTGTGTTCATTTTGCAAGTTTGAGTCAAGTTTTCTAATCATATATTGAAAGAACTCCATCAGCAAACTGATATTTTTCCCATGCAAGAAAGGTTCAATCTCATTGTCCAAATGAGAGGAGCTGTTTTCTTGGAAGTCAAAAGTTTTATTTTTCAGAAGACTTTGGATTTCTGACAAGAGTTCCACTGATATAAGAGAAATGTGGTGAAAAGGATTAAGGAGCATTCTTGAAGTTCTGTTGAAACCACGGGTCGACTGACTCAAACGGGTCTCATTTGACATATACAATGAGCTCCCAACTAAATCACTGATAACAGTTTGTATTTGCTTTCCAGAATTATTTAAAAGTTTAAAAATAAATTCAAGCACATTTATGTCATGTTTGACATAAAGTTCGGGGAGAATAAATTTCAAAGTTTTTGCTATGATATTGAAATAAACACTTGCACAAACCACATCAGAATCACCTAGGGAACATTCAGGGAGTGTCAAATTAAAAACCAAATTAATGAAGTCCATCACATTCATTAGCTTAGCATCTGTCTCAGCATTTCCCAGAGATTGCAGAAGAAATAAAATATGTTTTGCACTTTCAAGGTGAGAAGGTGACTTGTTTTTTTCAGTGGGATTACTTAATCCATATATCCACGTGTTACAATCCTCTGCTTCATCCATCGTACTGTGAAAGTTTAGAAAGGAGTTAAGATGAGATGAAAAATTTGTTTGCAAGTTGCTTATGTCTTTCAGACTATTATCCAAAATTAATTTGGTAATATTCTGGAAAATGCTGATACAAGCCATATATTTGTCTCGAGGTACACTTTTTAAAAAAGCAGATGTGTCATTTATCTCAGTGAGAATAATTTCAAGTTCCTCTTGGGAGAGCTTAAGAATAGTAGAAAGGGAATTTTCAATGGAAAATACACCAGCACCCTTATCTTCTCCCGCAGATGCTCCTGAGATGAAAGCATCAAGCCAAGAATTCAAAAGCTCTTCATTAACAATCTTCAGTATAGATTTCTGCATTTTAGTTATCACAGCTCCTATTGTCTCTAAAACACTTTCTAAACTGCTATCTTTAAGCAAGTTTGTGACTTCAAATGTATTGTTAATTACACTTTGAAAATTAACAAGGAAAGTCTCAAAATCTTTCAAGTCATTTAAATTGCCATGTTCCTGAAAAGCAGATTTTAAAAGCTTCATTGCTGCTCCTGCAGCTTCAACAATAGCCATAGCTGTATTATTGCACAGTTCATCTTGAGTTACATTTAAAAGATTTTCAGACAGATATGCCAAATCATCTCTTAGGCAGACAAAAAAGGTTGAATTCAAACTTAAGATTTCCGATGCTTCTTCAAAAATCTCTGTCCATGCCTGAAGCCATGTAAAAGTGCAGCGCAAAGCAGAAGGCACACTTACCTCATCTCCCCAGTTTGTTACATCAGACAGGATACTGTCCAATGGAAGCAGAATTAAGTCATAAACCTCTACTGAATACTCTTCTGAACTTACGTTTGCTAGATAGAAATCAATGCACACATTATTTCCCAGGCATTCTGGAGGGAGATCAAGAAACTCTTCCAAATAACATAAGACAGCTGTTTGGAACTCGTCATCTATAAATAAAGTTTTAAGGCTGCTCAGAACGTCATAAACAACTTGTATATCTTTTTTTCCATTCTGTGCAAGAAACTGTGCTTGAAACTCTGTATAGTTGTAAATTAATAGTAATTTTTCACAGAGAGCCTTACTGGTGAGATTCCAGAGCAGATCAAAAGTTTCAAACAGAAAATCAAAAGCTAGTTCCTTATTTTGCAAATCATGCCATACTTGAGAAGATGACATACTTTTTGAAGCCTCATAAAGAAGTTTTAACAGAGTGTTATTGCTCTTAATATTTAAAACCAGATCATCATTCTGGTACAGAGAGAAAATTTTTGGAACAAGTGAGGCCACAATAGTACTGTTTAATTTTTGGATATTTTTGAGGAAATCATGCACAATTTCTCCTAATTCTTGTACCTTATACATAAAATTTGGATTGGAGAGCAATAAAGAAGAAGTATTACTCACTCCAGGAATTGTGCTAAATGAGACATTGACACGATCACCAGACAATGATCCAACTTCATAGAGATTTCTTTGGAATTGTTCACTAAAATGTTTTAAATCGTCCAAAGCAGTAATATTTAACTCTGGCCAATCACTCAGGATCTTTTTGAGCAACACCATACTTCTGTTATAGATTTTATTTTCTGTAATGGAAGATAAAATTCTAGATAGCGTCTCAATTGCCTCTCCTTCTTCTACTTGACTCAAGAGAGAAAGCCTAGAATCTAGTTCATGGAATACAATTTCCACAATACGCCAGAAAAGTTCTGCCCTCTTTTTTGTCCAGATGCTCTGAAGAGGTTGGAAATTTTTTTGTAGGTCATTATGGAGTTCAGAAACTGCAAGTGAGAAATTGGTGGCAGATTCATCCCCCTCAGCAAAAATTTTTATCCATATAATTGCATTATTCAAGGCATTTTCCATTAGAGACTTATTTGAAGAAACTGCAAAATCAAACATTATCATTCTTTCCAGGACTTCTACAAGGTGAAAAAGATGATCCATTTTGTTTTCACCAGAAATCCTTAAGTTTTCTTCTGTCTTCAAAAACTCTTTGAAAGACGTCAAAATCCTGAAAAATTAATCAATCGTAAGTTTTTTTTCTTGTTAGTTACCTAGCAGGCAGCCAAGAATTTTTAACTATATATTATTTAAATTTTAGAATCTAGGTTTATTTACTTAATTCAAGGAAATTACAAATATAATTTGAATAGCAGTCACAAATTAATCACCACAAAATCTGAATTAGCAAAATTTGACAATTGTTTTGGGTTTCAAAAAATGTGAAAAAAAAAATCTCTACTGGAAAGTCACAACATCATTCAAATCAAAACCTGAATGTAGACAGCAGTTAAAAAATTGTGCATTTATGAGTACTTATAATCAAACTTGCAAGCCACAAGGAGTCCAACACCTTTGAGTACATCACATTTTCAGCTGCTGAAAAGAACAAAGATTTCATGTTCCACAGACTAATTATTTTACAGAAAGGAATGTATCAATAATATAGAGCAAAACATCTAATTTTCCATGAATTCTAAAGAATTTTTTGTTTTCTCATAATTATTGAAACTTAAAACATTCCAGTTGACTGCCTGGTAGCTGAACACTGCTATTTTAATATCTACAAAAAACATGAAATCACAGTGAAAATTGGAATGCACCCACCGGTGTTTCTATTGTGTCAGTATTACTTATCAAAAGAAAAAACAACTACTAGCTCTGTAAGATTTGTCAAGAGGAGGTGCATGGAAAAAGAGTCTTTGAATGTAGAGGCCTCAAGCTGAAAATATCTTCTCCTTAAAAATATTTTCTTTCTCTCCAGACTCTGTAATCAACAGAGGTAGAGCACAAAATATTGTGCACTGCAAACAAAAGGATAAAACTGCTAAAAAAAATACTTTGTTGTTGCTTACAACCGCAGCAGCACAGCAGTTTCCTTTTCTAAATTAGAATCAAATTTCAAAACATCCTACTAAATTTTTAAACAATTTGACTTCAATCTCTCTCTTACTAGTTGATAATGGAATCACTCTCTTACTAGTTGACAAGAAATTACAAGTAATGAGAAACTGAGGCCAATATTATATCTCCTGAAAGCAATGCAAGTCATCCAGTGTGCCATTAGAAAGAGGGAATTATCAGTTCCTGTGCTCTGCCATAGACCTTTCTTGAGCCTCTGCCAACTCTGACAAACATTAACTCCCTTTATGTACAGCTTAACTCCTCTGTAGAACCTTCCAGAACAGGAATATTTGAACAGCTTGACAAAACATATCATTCTTAATAAGTCCAGGGCTTACAGCCAAATCTTCACATAAAGTGTTTACATTTGCATTAAGTCATGAACCAAACAGAGAACTTGAAACTCTAATAAAAGCTCAGAAACATCAAAAGAAATCACAGACTCAGAGTGCCCTAGATGAGATTGCAAATTTCATATGTACAACTAATTCTATGTGTTTAAAATTCTGTTTTCCATAGGCTGTAGCTGTTGATGAAGGCATCTGTTACAAGATCTCCTGCACAACTGAGCTGACCTCTACAATAAAAATTCTAAATATTTCACATGCACTGGACTTGCTATACATGAGAAGTATTAGTGAGTCACACCAACTACTTGTGGGAATTCAACTTCATTTGCAGAACAAGACAACGGATTCATGTCTTAGTTCAAAATGCCAATTATCCACAGCTGCTAATTCCTGTGAGTCCTGATCATGTAGTAGTCATGTTCTCTGCTGAATCTGTAGGCAGATATATTCTGAAGCATAAACTTAATTTCTTTTCCAGAATATGTAAGCATCAGCACATGTATTTGACTTTATACAAGGTTTTGAACTACAGAATAAAAAGAAAATCGCAAAACAGACAAAAACAAATCAATTAAATGCAAAGTAAAACCAATATTTGGGTTGATCTAATTTTGTAAGACAAGTTTCAGAAAGAGAAGTATAACTTACCAATGAGATGGAACATATCCTTCTGAAAAATAGGCATTTGATTTCTCATTCCATTGCTGGATCAGGGTATTTATCGCTAAAAAAAGTTTCCTGTCTTCCCTGTCATCTAAAAATTGAGACATTAAATCTGCCACGATTCTTCTAAGTTCCAAAAGGAAATTTTGAGAGAGACTGCTGCTGTTGAGCCATTGCTCAAGTACCTAGTGGATTGAATGCAAAACAGAACATCTCATTAATCAAAGCTTTCTTACTTAGGCAGTACACAGAATTTGCATGTCGTTAAAAAATTCACACAATCAACAATGATACCAAAATTTCTCCCTTACAATCTGTCTAGACTCTGAAATTACTGACGTGACAAAGGTTGATTTTCAATACAGTTTTGACTGACATGCAAGTTGGCAATGTAACAGGCTACAGCGCACAGACAGCTGACATCCTATGTGGTGCTGACCTTGCCTACAGACCCAGGAAAGAGAAAAAGATGGACTGAGGCTGAAATCAACCAAAAGCTGACCTCCATAGCTGATTACTCAGGCTTCTTTTACCAAACTTCTGCCTACATTGCCAATATGATGGAAGATAGCAGCCTTAACATTTTTGGAGCCCCATAACACAGAGATGATGAAGAAGCCTGCATGCTCCCAATGTGAAATAAGCATAAAAAGGCCTGACCAAAGCTACTGACTGCTCTCCTTTTCTTCTCCACTACCTTTCTCTTAAATGTCAAATGAATATAACTGATTTACTCTAAGAGATATTCTGTTCACCAAGATAATTCACAGTGGCCAGCAGCTTACAGTATTTCTGGTTCCCATAATAACAACATCAACCCATGCTAAGAGTTTTAAAATCATGACTGAAATTATTACTGGGTTTTCCTACACAGAAATTAGTGCATTATTTTTGGCAGTCACATTGAGTTATTACCTCTTACTTCATACTTCATCATATAGCAGGGAAACCTCAAAGATCACATTTTTGAGGAAATACACAGGAAGATCTACACTTTTTCTTTACATAATATTGCAAACATCTCCAGACCAGCTTGATACATTCTTCTTCTTTTTTTAATGGATAAAAATATGATGTTTCAGTATAAAAACAAATACCGATGTTAAGGTAGCTAGGTGCTTTTCTTAGGAAACATCAGATATTTAATTCTTTTGTCCATGCAACTACACATATGTCATTACAGAGAATGCATAGCAAGCTATTCTGACAGATGAGAATTTTAAGATGCTCTACTGGAGGTTTACTTTTATCTTGCTTCAGCCATGATTGCCAGAGACAGTGACGGGAAAAAATAAATAAATTAATTATATACCAGTGGAGTTGTCTAGTCAATTTTCAGTTTTGGTCAACATTCAATCTCAGGTGGAACAGTAAACAGTCTCCTCTGACAGGTCTCTGCATTGCAGCATATCTCATCACATTCTCTATTACATTTCAAATCTGAATCTCCATTAATGAGAAAATCTGATTAAGTGGACACATGATGATAGATTATACTTCCACTCTAATGATTCTTTATAAGGATTATTTCATTTCATTAGCAAGAAAGTTCATTAAAACAATTTTATAGATAACTTAGATTTTTTTTAAACTGAGATACTGCTGACAACCTACATGCAAAAATTAGGAATTCAAACTATTAACTTATTAAAGTTACCCGTGCATAGAGTTTGAACTTGCTGACAGCATGAACAAGATACAGTTTGGCCTCATGCTGTGCAGAATTACAGCCCTCTCCATTATTCTCCTTGTTTGCTTCATCTTCTGGGACAAGAGCCAGAGCAGAGCACACAAACTGCTCCAGTGTCTCTCCTGTGGGAATCTGGCAAGGACACAAGAAATTGATGAGTATTTCAAGAGCGTTGCTGAGTGTTAGCTCTCCTATCAACTTACTTATCAAATGAAAATAAGAATAACACTTAGCCTTTTCAGCAAGAACAAAGCCCATCTAACCCAGCCTCGCATTCCCAGGAACATACTTCAAAGTATTCCACTAGCAGGTTGCTGTATAAAATACCAGTGGCCCCATTAGGGTGCTCATACAGCATGCAGAATGATGAGACACGTATATGCAAGGAATTTTCACCTTGTAGCTACACTAGTATTGCCACTTCTACAGTAATTTGCAGGCTGGTACTGAACTAACTTGACTATGACACAGCGCCCTTACAGTAAAATAACTATATTGAAACAACTTCAAAAGTATAAAAATTACTGATATAAAAAGCACTTAGTACAATGATGGATCTCCACCAGTCATTACATACAGCAGACTAGTTTTAAATTGAGGTTGGTGGGTTTCAACAGAGTGGCCAAGAAAACAAAATTTTTTCCTCATAGACTAATTTTTAAATTCTGTGATGAATGATTTCATATTCACAAGCCAATAAATTGTGATGAATAATTAAATATTCCCAAGCCTATAATTATTAAAGCTTACAGAAATAATGCCATACATTTTAATTCTGGTATTGCCTTTCTGAGATGCTTTGCATTCTTCCTCCTTTCAACACTGACTAGAGAATTCATAAAAAGCTTTGCTGTGTTTTGACACCAAACAAAATGGGGTGTTAGATACAGAATTGAAGTGCTCCAAACAAATACTATCCAGGTTTCCATATTTGCTTTCATAGTTTTTGATGGTCTTCAAAGTTTAACACAAGAACAAAATATTGAGATACTAGTTTAAATAGTTACCAAGTGAATAGCCTGGGATTTCACAGTCAGCCACAGTTATCAAGCTGCAGTTGAATGAAGTTCATTTGGTCAAACAGGCCATCACGGATATTTCATTAAAAGGCCATTCAAAAGTCAAGGGGTTTTTTTATAATTTATCAGTTTGTTTAAAACTGCTATTTTTACAATGAGCTCTTCTGGAGTATAACTCTAAACAGAACAAACAGATTTCACATAAATACCAACATATTCTATTAAAGAAACTGTGGACTTAAGCACAAATTCAAAAGTCGTTTTCAGTTTTCTGCAGCCAAACCAGACCACCACAACAGACAACTTTGGTGTAGAGGATAGGTTGCCCTATCTGAAGAAAGAGATTTTCTTCTAGATGTGATGCATCACAGGCTATTTGATTAAGAACCACTAAGACAACTCAGTCTAGTACATTCATATCAGGATTGCACAGCTGAAAAGAAAGGACTCTTGGTCTCCCTTAATTTACACACAGAAGAGACAGGCATTCTTTGTCCAGCAAATGAGATGACAAGTGCTGCCAGACAAGCTAATCCTGTCAGACTCAAACCAAGGATTTGGTTTAAAAGCTTAGTGAAGCAATCCTCAAAAGTCTCTACTTGATTGGTTAATAAACACAGGACTCTGCCATACACAGTTGTTACTTCAGAGAAACATTCATTAGTGTATAAAACTGGATCTATCAGTATCTTCATGTGCACAGATTTCAGCTAAAGCTAGTCTTTTATTTGATGGGAATGAAGCTAGGATATTTAACAACCTTGTAGCTGCTTCACAAAGCTAAGACTCTGTAACACAGGAAAATACATTCAGCGTACAAATAAAAAAATATTGAAGAGTTAGACACTGAAATTTTCAACTGATTTACCTCTGTTAATTGTGCTGTATAACTTAGCAGCTTCTCAACATGAGTGCCATCAAAACCAAACCTGGATTCAAGTTCTGCTTTCACAGCAAGCGGATTCCACAAAACATCCCCAAAAGAAAGATTGTATTGAAAACCTGAAAGAAAGGAAATCTTTTCTTTATGTAATTAATTCTTTTTGTTCATGTTGTTTCTTGGTGGTTCTCGCTTGTTGTGATCCAAGTACCATGTTCCCAGCTTTTTTGAGGACAGCAGGATGCGTGCACTGGAACATAAATTTACCTAGAATAAAACCCATGACTGCACTAGTGGAAAGGTCAGTCAGTGTGATGGCATTTCAGCAGCTGATATGCTGATGGTGGGACACCCCTGCATAGCAATTGCCAGCAAACTCAGCAGGGTGACATTCTGAACTGCACAGAGGCATGCAAGGTGTGTGTATGGACTGGATGTGAATCACTAATGAGAGTGACAGCAATGGGAGAATAACAGAAATGCCAGAGAAATCAAGTTCATCCTCTGTACAAGGGCTCCAGCACATCAGCTCTGTCCCACTTCAGCCTTCACTTTTGCAGGTGAAATGGGATTTAGACTGCATATTACTCTTAGCCTGACTTCCACAGCAAGCAGACAGTGGTACCTATACATTGTGTGCTTCAGCTTGCCCATGAAACTTGCTCCTGACCTTTTCTGGTTCTCCTGGGGCCAGCCTACCTTCTCCAATAGAACTCATCTTCCATGGTGAAGCAGCAGATGGAGAAATGTAACCCTTCAGCTGACAGAAGAATTTATGAGAACAGAAAAATGAAGCTTAAAGTAAACCAGTCATAATGCTTAACATGCATGTCCAAAAAAATTGCTGTCCTCCTATCAAATGGAAGAAATTGTCCCTTGCTTTGGTTTAGTCTGTCTCCAAAATTCATTGGTAAACCATGATCATTCTAAACACTGTGTATTAGACCAGTTTATCTGCTACTTTGTTTATCTGATAGTTGCCTGAGTCTGATAAAATTTAGTAATCATTATTTAAAAAGCAGATCAGTAGAGAAGTAGGTTAGCAGTACAGCAATAGAGTTTAGTCTCTGCACATCAGGAACTCAGCAGAAGGCCCAGCAGTTACTATCATATATTTCCAGAATGCTTATTAGGAAGTTCAAGGAAAATCTGAAGCAAATTTCTTACCTTCTAAGCTCCTATCCTGCACTGATGCAGCAGTCAAATTCAGTGCCATTTTCACCACTTCATAGAAACTTTGGCCCAATGGCATCATAGCTAAATCCTTCAGTGATGTTAAGGAACTGAAAGTAGAAAATAAAACAAAAATCAAGCCCTCTATGCACCCAAAGACCTGAAAGGATTTTCTGGAAAGAGCCAACCTTCAAGCAAATGAGTAATAAAACACTTTTTTACTGTTGAAAAATTAACCAATTGAGCAATTGGTTAATTGTTCAATTAAACTCTAATTTCATAAAACATTCCTTATATTTTATGAAATTAGAGTTTAATTGAACAATTAACCAATTGAGATCTTACAGTTAGAGTATCTCAAACACAAATTGAAGTTTTACAGTTAGTGTTTCAGTCAATTTCCATTAAGGAATTAAGGAAATGTGTCCTGAGAGGACCAATGCACTCTAAAAAAAAATTAAAACAACATAATACTTATTCTCAGAAGAGGTTAAACAAAGTGCATTACAGAATGCACTGATAAAAATATATCTATTGAATTTCTTACAAGTCTCTGTCACCTTAGCTGTGAAAAAAAAAATTCTCTGTTAATATAACTTAAAATTTATGTTGAATTTGCCAGTTATTTCCTACCAAGTAATCCTTTCTTATTATGCAAATAAGAATCCAGCTTTCCAGAGTGGATCATCAGTTTCCAACATTCATAAAAAGAAGAAGAAAACAAACAAACAAACAAACAAAAAAAAATCAGCCCTACCACAAAAACCCAAAGCTAGTCACTTAGATGTGAAAACTTCTGTTTAAGTACCTCTGAGAGACACAGCAAAACATGGTACAGATCTGAAAGTGGGAAACATAAATAAAGAGCCTTTCTACTGGCTTAATTCTGCCTTTGAAAGGACCACTAGGATGTAGTATAGTAATACAAAATTAGTCAACAAACAAGCATTGGGTTTTGTGGTTTGCTTTCCAAATTGCATTACTGAGGGTAAATTTGGTCACTGAAGGGCACAGAAATCTTAAAAAACCCCAAGCAAATGTAAACACCAAAACCCATATGTAAACATCTGATTCTCCTATATAGTTTTGCATGTTAGTAGCTCAGAGAACAAGGTGAAATAAGGTTACAAATTACTCAGGCATAAGGGAAAAATAATTAAATTTTAAAAATCTAGCACCAATATAGGTGCAATCCACATATTATAAGAGAAACTTGTTTCCCAGCCTGAAAAATAGTTAGGCCATCATATCCTTCTTCTCTGGGTGGACAGCTGTTTTTGTGGATTTTCTTTGGTTTGGGTTTGTTTTTTAATTTAAAAAAAGCACAGTGGGATGATAAAGGATGGCAGAACAACACAGTAATATCTCATCCATTATCTCTGAGCTCCTGCTTCCCCATGGTCTAAGGCTGATGAGGTACACAGCCAGTCTAGCACAAGCACCCAGGGTCAGAGGGCTTCTCTTGCTTTGACTGTGTTATTTGACTGCAGTGGCAATTGCCCATCCACCTACTACAGAAAACTGCCTACCCTGGCAAATACACATCCATCTTTCACCTAATAAATAACCTTATTTTACTGAAAATTCCTGCTGATATGTGTCTTGGTCTATGCTTTAACTCTATGTCTTCCTCTGAACCCAGCTGTCCTTGACGTGATTCAGAACACAGTCTCTGGGATGTTTTTCTTATTGTTTCATTTCTTGCAAGAGAGCTCCTAAAGCTATTTTGACAGCAAGAGGCTGAGGAAACAAAATTGAGTAATTTTCCTGATACAGACCAAGAGCTACAGACATTCAGATCTGATTAAGATCAAAACTATTATTTTCTTATATTCATATGTATATGCTCTGTCTTTCAAAGATTCCCAAAATATATTACAAGTTTCAAAGTCATATTATGTGATGGGCTTTTCAGGCATTTCATAATTTCAGGTATTGCTAACATGGAGCTGCTTAACAAAGACTGAGGGCATCTCTGTTGAGTTTGGCAAAGATGCAAAACATAGTACAAAGGAATCAGTCTGGGTGAAAATTCCTAACAAGTTTTATAAAAGCAAAATCTGGTAATGAGAAGAAAATTTTAGCCTCTTTACAATGTAAAGGATGCCTATTTTATTAAGTAGACAGTGAAAAGAACAAGAATTACAGAGAAAATTTTAAAACAGAGCACTTTCAAGAATGTGAAAGTACTTACTTTTGAATAACTTTTAGAAACTGTGTTATGATAGCTAACTCATCTTCTGTATAAAAGCTGTTCAGTTCAAGACGAGGGAGTGAATGCAGGAGGTTCCAGAAATATGGTTGCTTGTACAGATTTTCTGCTCTAGAAATAATTTTCTCTGCTTCATTCAAATCCATCTTTAGGTGGGAAAAAAAAAGTTACATGCTAGACTTCCAATAACAGAAGAAAAAAATAAAAAGAAAAAAAAATCAGGTGCCTGTTATTTCCCTGACCCTCTTGAAGTTTAAAATATTCATAATATTTTTCTGAATGTGAAAACATACCTCTGGATTTATCAATATATCACATTATTTTGGTGGTATTTTGAACTCATGGAGGCTTTGTTTCTGATATGTCTCTCTGCTCTGATGGAGAAATGGAGCTGGAAGTAAAGCCAAGGCATCTCTTTCTGCTCAGAGGTGTAACCAAGGGAAGGATTATCTTGGAGCTCTCAAGGCCTGCAATGAATGGGACTGCCCAGGCCTTGCCATCCTTGCCTCACAGCTCTTTGCAAGGCTTGTAGGGGTCTCAAATAACAACTTATAAGAATGGCTCTTTAAAGGTGACCTGCCTGGGGTAAAACGACTTCTTTCATAGGACTACACAATATTTGCTACTCAAAATTAATGTCTCACTAGGGCTTTTTTACACAATAGTGACATAAGCATGCCTTATACAAAAAGACTCTTGTATGTACACAAACTCGGTTTCTAACAATGATAATCTACTGTCAAGTCTAATATTTTCTTAATGTTGAGAAATACATTCTTTCTATTCTATATTGCATTCCAGAAATGAAATTTCATATTGATATGGCTCCTTTCAATCAATGAGATCTTATGAGCAATTAAAATTGCCGTCTAATTTCAAGTTATAAACAGGAAATCTAGGTTTCATGAAATAGTAGTAACAATCAATCAAATATGGAAAAAAATACATTTGATAGATGCACCTTTAAATTGCTCCTAATAAACAAACACCCTTCAAATAGTTGTGGATTTCAGCTACTAACAATCTACACTTGTTCAAAAAAGTTATCTAGAAACCATTGAACATCTATCAAATTTACAAGACATCGTTTTTTTCCTTCAAACATTTTTTTTTAAGATAGTCTCCTTAAACTTGACAGGATACAAATTTCTAACCATTATAATAAAGATCCTCAAATCCCAGAACTGTAATCTAGAAATAGACTGTAAAAATACTTACAGTAAGAAAAGTGGTGATGTTATGGAGCCCTGTAAAATTAAATATTTTCCTTTAAAAAGAAATATTAGTAGCTTTAGAAAAATCTATATTGTAAATAAGATCAAGCAGTACACAAAGGATGTTTCTAGAAAAGTAAAAGCACATGAAGCAACTAGTACCCAAAGAAAGTGGTCCATTTGATTTTCTGTTCTTCCCAATACTTTTACTATAATCACAAAAACAATTTAAAAGACATTTCTTACTCTTCAATTTTTTTTTGTGAGGCAAAAGCATCATGCTAACACTACATGAATATCCTAGCTACCAGAAGCCAGGCACACAAACTGTGATTTCACCTAAATCTTTCTGCTTGAAAAGAGCCAGAGGCACAGGGTAATGGGAGGTGCTCAGTGCCCCCTGGTACAGCAACAAGGCTGTGCAGCGTGGTAAATAGGTATGATTCGTGCTGACAGAATTGAAACAGTAATCAATATTGATACAGTAATTAATATTTGGAAATAATAAAACAGTTAAAAGGTGTAATGCCAAGAAAGAAAGGGAGAGGAGAGATTCCACCCCCTCCCCCCTTTTCCTGCAGGTCAAGGCAGGAAAAAGCAAGAGATAACAGTTACTAAAAATTAACAGAAAGAAGGGAAAATCTGGTTGCATTTTCTGGTCCCAGGAAAATGCTAATTATATGAGATTTATTGCTTTGATGCTTAAACATAATATTATGTTAGTTTTGGCTTATATTATACTAGCTTGGTGTGCATGCGTAACCCAAAGGTGAATTAAAGGACATTGAGGAAGAGGAGAGCCTTCATCTGAAAACAACCCCCAAAAAGTGGTGCGACCACCAAAACAAGTGGTGGAGCATGCACGGTGAAGGTGGTGATGAGGGCAGAGGTAGAAGCGTGATGAATGGAAAATGGGAGGAGATGGCATTGGCACATGGCATATAAGGGGGGAGTCTTCACTTGGCAAGCTCGTACGTGAGGTGGCAAGGGTCCAGAACCCTGCACTCCGTACCCCGCTGTTATCTTTTGCTTATGCGCTGTTATTGAAAAAAATTATCCCTTATTTTAATCAAATTATATGGTCAATATTTCAATTATCCGATTTCAAATATTTCTCTAAACTATTCAATTAAAATTGCTGCTACTTCTAATATTGTTTGGGGTTTTTTTATGATGGGATAATTGGGCAAATATAACAGCAGTATGGGTGGAAATGGAACAGGAGACCCCAACCCTGCTATTTCCAGTCTCATTCTTTCTGTGCAAGACTGAAGGGCACGTAAGGAGAGAGATACTGTGGTTTTCCATTCCTATACTCTTTAGTACAACAGAAAAATACAGGGAGGGAGCATTAAATCTCATGAACTACTTTTGAATGCACGTTAGAAAACGTAACCTTGTACTCTGATTTTAATCCTTATCTTTTAAGCTTTCCTCTCATTGTTTTCATAACTTTCAAGTATACAAGGGCACAGTTTCAGAAAGCTAAATTTTTTCTCAGATAATTTTGATGGCCACAATGTTGGTAATCATAAAAGTGGCTTTTTTTAGATCAGCTAAAATTTCAGTTGCCCACCTTTATTTCAAGATCAAACTATTCTTTTGTTTGATGTCTACCACTAACCAATAGGCAAAGAAATTAATTTTTAGAAAAATCACAGCTTACCTGAGAGCCTCAAGTTTTCTTCCCATAGCTTTTCTAAGGCCATAGCTTTCTCTGTAGTATCAATAAATTCCTTTGCAAGTTCTTCTATCTCTTCCATGAAGTCCAGATCAGGTCCAGTGGCTCTCTCTGGACCACGTTGAGGGCTTGCACTATTTTTTGACAGAAAAAAAAGGGACAGGTAACACACTGAAATCAAGTAGCTGAAAAATGTGTATATGCTCACAGCAGTATTCTAATAATTTTTTTAACAATTATGAATTTATATAATTTCTATTTAGTTCAGTTCATTAACATGCAAGTTGCAGCACTGGGTCTCAAAACCTCAGGAAAGTGGGCAATGAAAAATTGCTGAGGTCACTTATGCCAATTTTGGCAGCAGCCAAGAACAGACATGTCCAAAAAGTCTTTAATATTTCTGAACACACTCAACTTTTCTCCCCTGGACTATCATGTGTTCTGGTGGCAATTCTTTGATGAGAAAGTTCAAGCTTTCCTATTGCATCTAAGGCAACAATTTTTTTTTTCAAATACACACAGCAACAGATAAAAAGAGTATTTTATTCTTACTACTGGCTTTTTCCTTATTTTAGCTTGCAGACATACCACTGGTAAATGTTATCTCTATCACATTGCTATCTGGTGACTAGTCAACAGCACAATTTCCTAACAATACTTTTAAATAAAACCAGAAGTCAGAGTCATTTAAATGCCTCTTTACAGGACAAAATTACTTAGACCCTCCTAAAACACCATAAACAAGGGAATAATTATATTTAGCATGTTACTAGGCAGTTGCATTCTGTTTTATCTAATAGGAGATTCAAATTATCTTAAGAGCTAGAACCTGTCTAGCAAAAACATTGCTATTTTGCATCAAAAACAAAATTAACTGTCACAGAATCAAAGAATGAGTCCAGTTGGAAGGGACCACAGTGGTCATGTGGTCCAACCTCCCTGCTCAAGCAGGATCATCCCAGAGCACATGGCACAGCATTGTGTCCAGATAGTTCTTGAATATCTCCAGTGAGGGAGACTCCACAGCCTCTCCGGGCACCCTGTCCCAGTGCTCAGTCCCCTTCACAGTAAAGTTCTTCCTCATATTCCAGTGCAACTTCTTGTCTGTCAGTGCTGCCCATTGCTTCTTGTCCTGTCTCATTTACAAAAATATAATAAGGAGTTTCATTCCTTTCTCATTGAGCTTATATGCCAATACTTGCTTTCACCACAATTTTTACTTATTGAAAGAAAAGCCTAATGAGATCAATTTACCAACCAAAGAAAGCTATCAGTCACCACTTTCTCATTCTCTTATTTCTCTTTCCTTCCCTCCCAAATCCTCATTTGTTCAGACACTCCCAGAGCTGTTTGCAACTTCAAATTAAGGGAAACAAAGAAAATTTCATCTTAAAATAATCAAGTTCTTAATTGTTTCAGTACAGCTTATTTTGACTCCAACTTGGCCAACAGGCAACACCTTCACCGTCCTCAAACTTTAGTGGGCCAAATGCAGAACAATACCTCAACATATATATTTCCCTTTTAAATGGAGTTTTAAAAAGCAGCTTTCTGTTGTTCAGAAGGTGGCTTTTTGGGAGACTAGAAGTTGCACTTTAGCTGTTGTCTTTGAAAATCACCTCATAAATTCCAATATTACTGAAACTCCCAGTGCCCAAAATTTCAGCTGAGAATACTTGTGTTTGGCAAAGAACTGAAACACTACCTACATACTGAAATCTTCCTAGCACTCTGTTTTTTGAGCATGAACAAGACGCCAGCATTTGATCAGAATAACAGAAGCCACAGTCAGAAAATTAAAAAACCAAAACTCTAGATCACTTGCCATGGGATTTTTCACAGGTTTTGATTGTCTTTGGGGTTTTTTTGTGGGTTTTGGAGAGAGTGGTTGTGTTGGGTTTTGTTGGGGTTTTTTCCCAATAGTTGCTGAACATAAAATTGGAAACTAAACTCTCCAAAGAAGATCATTTAAAATAAAAAGTGTTCAGAGGAGTGCAGAATTTCAACCCACATTGTTTGCCCTCCAAACTAGACCCAAGCCTTGCATCTCCATCTACAAATGTCCTCATTTTAGAAACATTCTAAATACCAAACAGCAATGCACTGGGGAAAAAGGCCTTAATCACATAGGAGCCCACAGCAGGACTCAATGCCATCTCCAGAGGATGCTGGGGCTGCCTGGCCTCCCTACCAGCTGCAGGGGGCACAGATAGCAGTGATGGAAGCAATCAGTAATTCTTTCCATTCTATCCCCATCATCACCTCTGCTGCACCTTGGATCTGCAAAGCTTGGATTGATAAACAGCAGGGAAAACAATATAAAAGCATCCTCTTGGCACTTAATTTATGTGCTTTAGCCACTTGTTTGATGCACAGCAGAAGCACATTAGATAACACAGGTGTGTCACTTGGTGAGAAATTTATGTTTTGGGATTTTTAGTATGTTGTGGATGGAAGCAAGATGGATGGCACAGGGTGTCATCCTGGGTTTCTTCTTCGTGCTTCTTCTTCCTTCTTCTTCATGGGTTTGGGTGGCATTTTGCAATTGGGCAGAAAAGTCTGCATTGTGGGCTCTTTGGGATCAGTTATAGGGTTAAAAGGAAAAATAATCTAGGTGTCAGTTCCTAATTGGATAATTTAGTCTTAAAAGAGCTTGTAAAAAGAGATTGTTGGCCATTTTGCGCTTTCCAATGAAAAGCTGCCAAACTCACAGTAGTGAGACTGTTTTACTGATAAGAAAAAAAAACCACCTGAGTCCAAACACAAATTACTGTCTCAAGTGCCTTCAATCCAGACCCAGAAAAACTGAAAACTGGTACTCCCACAAGGTCCCACAGAGCACATGGGGCCACAGCATTCCTTCCCAAGGAGATTGGGAAGACGCAGACTAGAAATATTAAAGAAAACCTCAGACAGCACTTGGAGCATGGCAGCTCTGAAGAGCTACAGAGCAAAGTGCAGGAAAATCAGGTTGATAGTGAAAGTGGAGAGGGAGATGAGAAACTCTAGGGGGAAGTAGATACTTGGAGTATGGTAAAAAGCAAATCTAAGGCATAAGGCCTAGTTATTACAGAAGAGAAGGCACATGTGCCTTCTCAAGCACATGAAAGACCCACAGAAATGCCACTTTCCTAAGCACAAGCCTCTCAGCAGCCCAAGAGCAGCTGTTTTCACATGCTGGCTGTGAGCTGTGTGAGCTATTAGCTTTGTGAGGACTTCACAGTCAGCTGCCATGTCAGCTAGCTGCCATTTCTGACCCTCTTTGGCCATCATTGCCACAGACCTGCCTCTCACTATTCTTGGATCTGAGCACAGCCTCTTTTTGAAGGGGAAATGGCAATAGGCATGACATTGGTTTTATGAAACACATAACACTGAGCACAGGCTCAGTTTTATGAAACACATTAAATTATTACAGAGGTCTTACTTGCTTAATAACTGTGTTAAGATTAAAGGATTTTATATATTTTCAGAATGGTACTAGAGGACTACATTTAGCCCCTAATTAGAGTGCTACAAGTTACTACTGATCTCTTAATTCAGCACAGGTTACACAAAATTGCAGGAAGATGTCAGCATCTTGCCAGAAAGATAAAAAACTACACTTTAAAACCAGCTACAGAGACAGTCAAAGCAAACAATTTCCTGTGAATGTGCCAATAAAAGTTCTTAATTGTGTTACTGGTACTCTCCCAAAGAGCCTTCAAAGCGTGCTTTCTGGAGCAGAAGGCAGCACTAACTCATTTGTGTGTGAATGTGTAAAGGAAGTCCAGCAGCCATTCCAAGGAAATTCCTAGCAGCAGTTGCTAGGAACAATAAAGAGAGGAAGCAAGGGATAATAAAAAGGACAAAAGGAGGAAGCAGTAATTTGTAGGAGAGGACATACATAATTAGAACTGGGGTGTTAGAAGAAGGGGTTAGGGAATTTATATGTGAAATTGCATTATTGTCCATGGAAGTTCTTCCTTCAATTGTACATTTCCACACAGTTTGTGAGAACAGAAATGAAACTAAAGACATACATTGGTACAAACTTTGAATGTGACAAAATACTGCAAAAGAGCAAAAAGATTGCATCTCTTTGAGCATGTAAAAGCAATTGTTATTTCCTAAAGCCATGACTCAGAAACATTAATTCTGTCCAATTTACTCAGTTACTCAGGATAACAATAAGAACATTTCAGAGTTCATCTGAGAACTCAGCTGTGATGTGAAATGCCTGATGACAACAAGAACATTTCAGAGTTCATCTGAGAACTCAGCTATGATGTGAAATGCCTTTTAGACTCGTGATTTTCATAAGCATCTCAGCAAACTCTTCTCAACCTCACCCCTGTCACCACATTAATAATTTCTCTCTAAAATTGCAAAGCCCCATCTGGCTTTCATTCTGCACTATATCAGGGTTATAAGCCTGGAGACATCAATACCAGTACATATGCTGGACAATAACATACTGTGTGTCTCTCACAGAAAGACCTTTCTCTTCCATGTAGATACAATTATAATCTTCCTAAAATGCAATGGACTAAAATATATAACAAACTAAAAAAATGTATTCTTCTTAATTTGCTCCAGAGTACTGGGAAATCATGATGTTTCCAAGCACATTCGTGGAACGTGTGGGTGTAAGGCCACACGACCCCTGGGCTGTGTCTTGTTTTCATGATCTCAGTTTTACACTGTGCTCCGCTAAGATGAGGTGGGGGGTGGAACATTCTGGAAAGAGCAGGGAAAAATGTCCTTTGCCACAGGAGCTCCTGAATACTTCCTTGTTCCTCTGCTCTGAGAGGGGTGGGTGTATCAGGCTAGGGAATCATATCAGCTGCCGCCAGCCAGCAGCTTTTGCAGTGGATGAAAAAAGGAGCAAGGAGCACAACCAAGAGCTCTTGCAACTGGATGCTTTCCAAAGCAGCAGAGGAGGTGGCAGATCTTGCTGCAAATCAAAGCTAATGTAGTTGTAGGCTCATCTTCTCGCCATATCACAGGCAGCTGCCTAGAGGCACAGGGACACATCTGTGAGGGCCTGGCCTGCACCAGAATAACTTCACCCTGGGCTCAGCTCCTCCATGGGAGGTGCTGCTCACTGACAAATGGCTATTTGTGGTTTATGGATTCCATGGAAGCTCCAGCAGTAGTCACAGAACTGCTTCCTCCCAAAGACAACTACTACATTTCAAAGTGATAGCACCAAAGTGTTCCATACTGTGAAAAAAATGGTCAAGTGTCCATGCAAACCGTGCAGTCTCTGACTCTCTCTTAATAAACATAACATTATTGACATAAAAAATGTTCCTTTATCAGACTTATGGATTGATATCCTTGAAGGGAAGATAATTGCTATTACTGTTCCTATGACACCCCATCTCTCCTGTCAACAGGGACTGGATTCAGTTATGTTTGACTGATCAGAATGACAGTCTATATTCCTAAGGCTGTTGGCAGCCAGCATAAGTCAGAGCAGCCCTGACGTTGATTTAATTTATACTGATGGACCTGGTGGAACAGGCTGACCTCAGAATGAACTTCATCCTACCTTTTTAGTCTTTTTCCTTACCTAGGCTATATGCTACTCAGTGCAGCCTATTGCACAGCCTAAAATGCATGCATGCATTTTATTTTTCACTTGAATAATTGAAAGCCACTGAATAATTTCCCTGATTCTTAAATAGGTCTAAATCTGCCTCCAGGAAATTCTTTCCTGATTTTCTATTGAGCTGGAACATAATTTGGGCAGTTCAGTCAAAACAGTGTAAATAATCATGCAGAGCAGTCAATATAGTTCATAGTTTCTAGAGATTTAACACATTTAGATGGCATCTGAACTAGTGATGTAAAAAAAAGCTATACTTTTAGGGAATTTTTTTTTTGAAGGCCAGAGTTAGGGTAACTCTTTAGCCCAGTAATATAGAATTTCTACTGCAAGTAAGAGGCTACAAGCTTTGTACTGAGTTTGAAAGACCACAACACAGGGGCTGGCCACCTTTGGTTTGCCTGAACTTGTTTACATTTTGACTTGGGTTTGCTTTACCTTTTTATTTTTAATTTTCCTGGCCAAACAACTCTGGCAATTTGTTCTGTTTTCACTTGTGATTGCATAACACCATCATAGTTTTATACAGATAGAAGGAGCAAGTGACCATTCAGCGCAAAATGAGGTATTTATGGCTAACAAGGCAGAGCAGAAGAACACAGGCCCAGTATAATAGATGAGGCCTTGAGAGGTGGGGACAGAGATGAACTGCACTGGAATATAATACTGGAGTATCTGGGTTGATAAGAGGTGGGGCACAGGCTGGCTCTGAGGGCCATAAACAAGCCACCAGTGTTTAGTTAAAATTCAAAACTGTAGCTGGACAAGGCCAACTTCCAAGCATCAAGAAAAAAACAACATGTAGCTAACATTTGTAAAAGATATCATATACATTCTGGTGTACCACATAAATTTGAATTTATCCCAGAGCTGCAGACCAATGGAAACAAGCGAAGTATAAAAGCACACTAGCAAACACAAGTGACCCCAAGTGCACCCTCAAGTGAAAAAATAAGCCATCAACACCACATTCCTCCAGGAAAAGTAGTGTACATCATGACTTGCCATAACAACCCCATCTTCATCCATCTACAGCTGTTTACATGACCCAGAGTGCCAGTGGAAAGGAGAGCATAACCTCAGAGAAAAGACTGGAAACTCAGTGGTCATGTAACAATTTTAGCTGTATTAATGGGAGGAAGAGGCTGAGGAGAATTTTAATAGGGGTATTTTTGTCTGTAACTATCTTGTGTAATAATGCATCTTGACTAATACTGGCTTAGATTGTTAAGATTTCAATTCTAGAAACAAATTCTACCTTATGTAGAATGTGTTTGCCCATAAACAGGGTTTATTTTGTATGGTCTTACATTCAATCAACAGTTCTGTAATGTACAAATAACTGAAGCAGACCACCTAGATCAATAGAGGAGCGTTATGGCCTATTACTGTGATACTAAAGCTTTCCAACTTGCTGTATGCTAAATTAATTGCTACCTATAAACCTCTACAGTAATAAACCATAAATATTTCATTCTTTGACACACCTGGCTCAGCTCTCTAAGATTTTTTGATAGATACTATCAATTTTCTAGGAATAAACATACAGATGTAAATGTATATATTCTGATCAGCTGACCCTTATTTGACTTTATTGTTATATATTTTGAAAGGCTGTTTATGACTATACTCTTCAGACAGTTTGCATAAATGTCTTTGCATCTCAACCATTTTTGGAGTAGATGAAATTACTTCATTTCTTAAAGAAAAATTCTTTTTGAAATAAATTGTTTTTTCTTTCTGCATGCTAGGATCCTGTGACAAGGACTTCTAATGGGCAACTTCTTCCAAGTTCTTTCTTATTACAGAACTTCTGCTATTCCTTGTTGGCTTTTTGTGGGTCTTATATGAAAGTTATTCTTGTTTTGCTTTTCTGGGTTCACTTACCCCACCATGTATCCCATCCAAACTATTCAAAGTTTAAATCCACATATAATTTTGGTGCTCTGCTTCACTCACATATAATAAAAGACTCTCTGGTAAAGGATAAAAGTATGCTCTGACATGGTAGCAGCAAAAGGGAAAGAATATGACAAGGTATACAATTTCACCCCCAAAGAGTGTTCAGTGGCCAAATCCAGCATGAAATGCCCAAGAAACGTAAACAAAAATTAGCAAGAGGTACGACTAAGGCCTTACACCTTTTGCAGTCATAAGAACACTGAAGGAAGCTTTTAGCACAGAGAACATTGCTTGTATTTTTCCTGTCTGCAAGGCAGCAAGAACCTGCCTTTCTGTAAAAGCAGATGCAGTGTGGCGGTGGCAGCTCTGTCACCTCCCGTAACTCACCCAGAGCGGCTGTGTCTCTGCGCTGTGTAGCTGGCATTCCTGCACCTCGAGCCCACGTTACAGAAAAGGCTCCGCAGGAAGGGATAAAGGCCCCCACTCGGTAAATCACGAGCTTCTAGGTAACCTGAAACCAAGCAGCAGCACAAATAGGACCAGGGATATTGCATTTGTAAGCTGTACCATCACATTGTGCTCCCTTATCCCAAAAATCCTCTTTGTCACCTGCAAGCAATGAAGGTGTATCAATGTCAGGTGTCTCATTTAAGAAAAACTCTGTCATCACAGAAAATGAGTAACCTCTGTGTCAGGTTGGACAACAAGCTCCATGCGACACTTGAGAGCAATCTTTGAAAAGCTAATTTTCCTGGTAGTAACATTATTGCAGTATCATATGGTTGCAGTATCATATATAAATCATGTGACCTGGATTGGAATATAGACTTCTGCACAAAGTGGTATTTCCTCTTTTTTCACAGGCTTTCAAAAAATGAAGGAACAAAAAATGAAGGTGTTCAGCAATGTTGGAACATGCATCAATCAAGACTCTTTAAACAGCCATTTTTCCATATCTCTGGAATTATCCACAGCTCTCCGTAAAGTAAACATACATAATGCAGGCTACATTCTCTCCAGATAGTTCACTCTACACATCTAGAATTGTTTCACCAAACTGATTTTTAATGTAGCTAAAGCTGGTTTATCCCCATTTTACTGGCATTGGTGAATAACATAATAATAAACTGAATGAAGTTATATTTTGACAAGATAAAAGCAAAAATAGCTTTATAAGGTGGAGGGAGTCATAACTTTTGAAGTGTTAAAGGAAATGGAAGAATTTAACAACATATAAATTCTCAATCCTAGGAAGTGAGTAGGGGTAAGGTTCATCTTGTCTAATTATTTTTTGTAAATATCCACCTCTGAGACAGTCATCTAAACTCCATTACTCTATAGAAAGCAACAAAAAAAACTAAAACCCAAATAATCTCCCTTACTACAAAGCTTATGTTTAAAAGTTTTCTTACCAAACTTAGCATTTCTTTCCCACATAAAAACAGCTTCCTCAGATCTGCAGCTGGACAAGATTAAATCCCACTGTAGGACTCTTTCCATTGACTCCACTACATTTAAGTCCCACTTCTAGCATGTGTTTAGTGTTTGCTAAATACTTCTACAAGTAGAGGCAACCAAAATAGAACACAGGCAAAGCAAAACATACAGTTTTCCTTGTATTTTGGGGGTTCCTGGAAGCGGATGGCAGCTAGAATCAAGAAAAGTACACATGGCCACAGTATTTCAGTGAGAGAGAGGACCTGAAAAAGGAAATCAGAACATCAGTCTATACAACATAGGGTTTGGGAACAAATCATTAAAATTCATTTGTCATTTACTTTATAATAAAAACAATAAATATCCTCCCTACAACTATTTAAGGAAGAACAAGACCATTAAAGCAAACTAACAACTGAAACTTCTATTTTAAATCCTTATAACTGTGAAATGCACTTCTTTCAGAACAGAAAAGTAGTTTTCATTTCAGTTTATACTGTTTGTAGATACTTTCCTCAGGTCAAGACAAAGACTGGCAAGGTGGTGATGGTGACCTTCAACTTTCCCATACCTGAGCCTCCTAAGACGCCAGCAGCATCCTGTACCTTGGTGAAATTCTTCATGCTCCCTTGAGCCCTTCCTGGTGGCAGACCTCCTTGTCCTTCCCTGACTCCCTGGCTGCTGCCATTACACCTTTTCTGTCACCTGCACTCAAATGCTCTCCAAAAGCCACCCTCTCCATCTCCAGGAGGGAAGACCAAGTGAGACCAAGCTAACAGGCCTAAGGCTGCCCACAGCCACACTTCTCATATCCCAGTGTTCCCATTTCCAGGGCCACAAGGACGAGGCACACAAGCCAACCACAGCAGGGCTCAGATTTTGAGTGTTGTCTTCTCTGAGCAGAGTGCACATACACAGAGCACATTCATGCCTCTGCAGAGAGGGCACAAACTCTCTAATGGATTGGAAGGAAGAAAAAGAAACACCAAAAAAAGCAATTGTGTCAATTTTCAGCAGCAGAAAGGAATAAACAGCCATTCAGCCAAGTTTCAAAAGGCTCCTAGATTCACTGATAACAGCATTAGGAAAGTGTGAATAGGGACAGAAACACAGTAGAAGGGACAGCCATGCTGAAGTCTCCCACTAGGGGCTGTTAACTTCTCTGGAGCATACAGGGGATTTTATGTCTAAAATGCCAGAGCTGAGCCAAATCCCATCACAGAAGTAAATTTGGACATATCAGAAAAATGCCTAAGAACCATAACATAAGAACAAAATCCAGTGACTGAGTCTTCCCTGTGAAGAAGGACATCTATGCTGGACATGAAAAAAGAAATTAAAGGTTTCCTGAAATTTAGGGAAATCGCCATTTATCTAAACCGATCACACTCAAAACAGTACAGAAGCCAATCTAATAAAAGTAGAGATGGTTATTTCAATCTTTCAGGGATCAGCAAGGGCCAGCTGCTCCCCGGGGTGCAGGGATCTGTGTGTAACAGTGCCACCCAGCAGGGCAGGGTCCCCATCCCAGGGAGCCCAGAAGGGGAGCAGGACAAGGCTTGCCATCACAGCCAGCCTTAACCAGGAGTCCAGATCCTCGGTCAACATCACAGCAGTTCAAGCCAAACAGTGGCCAAGCACAAGGGCTGAGCCAGAGAGCAGTATGACTCCAACTTCTCCCAGGCAGGAGGGCACAGAAACCCAATTTTGGCTTGGGCTGCTCAGAGTCATTAAACTTAGCAGAGGCCTAGAGCCCTGACAGCATCCTCCCCTCCTTGGCATATTCATCCCCATTCCTCCTGCCTGGGATCAGATGGAGGGCCTTGCTGTGGAGCAGAGCCATTTTGCTGCAGAATGTCCTTGGGCTCTCTGTGGGGAATGGAGCCAGCTGCAGCAGCTGAGGGAAGGGGCACTGCAGAGGACACTTGGGAGGGGATGTCACTAGGCTGCCCACGAGGGGCTGGAAAGGGGGCACACAGCTGTCCCTGGGGGCACACACCATCACCAGAAGAGCCCACAGTCAGTGGCTGGGGGAAGGTCCCACAAGAAGTTCAGGTGGGAGGTTTTATAAGGAAAGGGCCCATCCCAGGCTGGACTCCCTGGTGCCACCTCAGGGCTGAGGACAAGCCCAGCTTGCAGCCAGGGCACAGCCAAGCCAGCTGCTCCTGAAGGGCAGGGAGCCAGGAGAGTGCCAGGGCAGCAGGGCCCCTGTCGAGAAGGGCCTGGCCAGCAGTGCCCCCGGGAGGCAGCAGGCTCTGCTGGGATCCAGACCTACAGATGATCCAGGGCTAAAGCTGAGCCAAGAATGAGGGTCAAACAAAGCCCTGCCATCTCTGGCATAGTCCATGGGAGGAGGGTTCAGCTTGGATAGGGACTGTTGCTCCTGCTGACAGGAATTTGGGATAAGAACTGATAAGGCAACTGCAGAGGAAACAGGTTGGAGGACATAAAAAACCACCAGCATGCTGCAGGCATTAAGCATGCAAAACTGATCTTAAGTAAGTTATTTGTTGTAAACATGTTAAAATAATGCTGCTGTATAAGGCTTACTTGTGTTACAACAGGACAAGTGCCCACAGAAAGTCCAAGGAAAGAGCATTTGTGACATTGCAGGATTGCAGTCCCTGCACAGCTGCTTTGCCCGGGCACTGAGGGGAACTGGAGCCTGAGCGCTCATGACATTCTGGGGAGATGCATCTTGGAGGAGTGGTGAGTTTTGGTAACAGAGCTGATTAAAATAATCTGATTTTAATTCCAATTGTCCTCTAAATTAGGGCATCAGAATTTGGGAATCACATTTCATCCTTTACCTAGCTACAAATTTGGATGGTAATAAACATTATTTAAACAGAAGTTAAGAAATGCAGTGATAGAAAATGAGAGTAGTATATTTGCCTGGTAGTGAGTATCTCCTGAGCTTCTAGAATCTCTAGTTCTGAAGTAAAAACTTCTGAAAACAGAAATGTGTCTTTGGCACAACTGCAATTTCAAACTCCAGCAAGTGAAAACATACAAAAGAGCCTTCCCTGCCTTTGAATCATATTGATAGAAGGTGCTGATGCCAGCCTGAATTTCAGTCACAAGAACTGTTCCTAGCAGAACTCTCACATCTGTCACAGCCCCTGCACCCTTCACTATGTAATATGGACTAATGTCACATGGCACTCAGGACACCTTGCTAGTTCAACAGCCCTCTCTTCTCTTCCAGCCCTAACTACTGAGAAATAGCCATGAGGAGAAAATTGTCTTATACAGACAGATCTATATGATTTGGAACAGAGCTGAAGCACATCAGACCTTTCAGGAGGTGCTTCTCTCTTCAGATTCTCAAGGGTCTCACCACCTCTGCGCAGGTGGACAATGCATCTGGATTTCTTCTCCTGTACTGCAGATGGAGCTCCTTCACAGCTCAGTGCTTGCACAGCAGCACACAAGGAGCTTGTGCAAGTTCTCCAGGGCAGCTTCTGCCTCTCAACAGGCAGAACGAAGTTTGCTTTGGATCACCCTTGTAATTACTGGCTTGGAGAAGTCTGCTTCTTATTGAGTTCTCTATTCAGGAAATCTACCGATTAGACCAACTTATATGAGTTAAGATTTTTTTTTTTTTTTTTTCCTTCAGAAATATATGAAGGAACACTGCACAGAACAAGAGGAGAAATAGATCCACGTGCAGGAAAACAGGAGATACAGAGAAGCCACTTGATGCACACCGATTGAATATAAGAACTGTTCAGGCATGGAGAAGAATATGACCAACAGCATCCTTCCCCCAGAAATATATTTTATATTAGAAAGCATAACTTTCATTAATCTGGGGAAGAAATTCCTCTCTAAATCACTGTTTTATTGAGGCTAAATATTTCTGAATCTGAAAGCTGTGAGCTTATTTAATTGAAAGAATTCTATCCAAACAGCCAACATGCTTCACTGCAAATTCCCACATCATTATAGACAAGTGAAATCTGTGTGAAACTATTAATTGAAGTGACCTTTTTTCCCCACAAAAATGATCTCTCACTTGAGAAAATTCACTTCCTTCTATCCAAAAAGATTGTTTCCATCTCATTAAAGGGAAAAGACATCTAATTTTCATAATTTTAGTTTTGACTTCTGTCCAAGCAGCTGCCACATTGTTTTGCATATTGGAATTGGAAAGGTTAAATTAGGCTTTGGAGAGCAGATTAGAAAGGAAATTTAGAGGTTTATACAATTTTTAATACAATACATTCCCTGTATCTAGACTTTGATCACAGTCATGCAAGCTTTCTTACATTACATATAAGCACCTGTAATGTGAAGAAAATTGATTTTTTCCCTTGCCACTGCTAACCAGCACTGCTAGTATCTAATGTTAATTAAAAGATAAGAAGTGGCTCTTCAAAACTTTTATGACATTTGTCTCATTTTCAAATTGGAGCATTGCTGTATTCAGCCATTTTAGAACTAAAACAACACATTCTCTACTTGGGTTTTCAACAATTAGGTAACAAAAGGCAAAACAAGTACCACTTGCAGCCAGCCTGTCCTTAACAATCTGCAGTGAAAAGGGAAAATCAATAGACACACTCTCTCCAATACTGAATACTAATATTAATATTTCCAGGTACTAAAAAATTTTAAATATTCCTTTTTTAATTTTTTCCAAACACTTACCGGTTGCCTCACACGGCAGAGCCAATTTTTCCAGAAGAGAGCCTTGAATTGGTGTATAGCGTTCCCCATATCTTCTTTTCTTTCCTTCACCCCCTTGCTGAGTGGGCTTTCTAACTCAGAATCATCTCACCAAGCAGTCCAAACGTACTATTCAGAAGCTGATCGTGAATAGTGCAGGAGATTTGCCTGCTTCCTCAGAAAAGATGAGATTATGTTTCTGTCTCTTGTTTTGCTTTCGTTGAGGAATCTCATCTTTCTGTTTTTCTTCTCAGTGCAATGAACAGTAAGGGGATGGGTTCATAGAAATGCCTTCAGGCTGCTTTACTCCACAGAATACATTCTGCACTTGTTTCTACTTTTCTGGAATAAAAATGGATGTAAAAAATGAAGGGGTGGGGAAAGAATATGTAACACATATTTATTATTTTGCAAAGTTTTTTGACTTTTTGTCACTTTAGTGTTTATGTCTGTTTGTTTGCTGATGCTTATATTTTTGAAAAAAAAATAGGAGGAAAATAAATAGGAAATAATATAGCCCTGAAAATGTCAGTTTGCTTCTAGAACATCCTTATAAGTACACATCTAGCACTGTAGTGGTCCCAATGCATCATCAGATGACTGTTGAATTTTCTCTTCTGGAGCATGTATGTCTGACAATTCATTCTCCTTTACCTACATAGAGGGGGCATATTCCAACAATAAAATCTCTGTTAATGAATTGCCACATGCCACTTGGGATGAAAATCAGTCTTTCAGCAGCAGTTCCTTCAGCAAAGAGGTGGGAGAGCAATTCCTTCTGCAGAAGGGGAGAGTGTGCAGACCTGTGGTAGCAGAGCCAGTGGGAGACCCAGCAGGAATCTGGTGGTGTAGAGGATGACCACCCTACCCACCAGGAATGACATCATGAGCAGAGGAGTAAACTTTTGGGGCTTTTTTTGTTCCACACAAATGAATTGCCCAAGAATCTGATCCCCAAAAGCTCTCTCTTATGGTCAATAGAGACACATAATACAGCCATTATATAAGGTAATTCAAACCACCTATAATCTCAGTTATGATTCACACACACAGGATAGCATGATGCCTGAACAAATATTCTTTATTTCTTATTATTGTTGAGTAAATTGCATCATTGCACTTTCTACAAATGTATTCCTATTGAATGAAAGACACACCCTAACATCCACAGCTATTTTTCCCCATTTAGAGTAAAATCCCTCAAAATATAAAATTTTTTGCATACAGAAGTCAACAAAGAGGAATCCAACTTCCACTAGATTTAAGCCAAGGCAGCAATTTTAAAAGTTAATAAATCTGCTACTTCTGCAATGGAGAACTGCACATCTGCAGGTCTAATTAGTTGTGCCAGTTTCTATGGGATGAGGATCAGCTAGTGTTTGGTGCCTCAGCTTCCTTTTCCCAGGCTTTGGATTTGGGTCACCCAGCATCAGTTTTGGCCCTTCAGAGCACATTCTAAACTTAGTTACTCCACTTCCTGGGAAACTGACTGATTAGTCTGTTAAAATGTCTCTATTTGAAATGGTGCAAATTTCTGGTTTAATTTTTTTCTTTTCCATGGTTCAAGGAATAGAGAAAAAAACAGACTAAGTAGGTGTCCTGAATTCATCAATTTTACATACTGGTAAAAAACCCCTCCCAAAAAAGCAGAAAGCACAGATGAAGTCATGGCAGAGCACAACACCTTCATTTCTCAAATATGGTGGGATTTCCTTTTATATCCTCTGCTCTGAGACTGAAAAACTACTGAAGTAATCATTTAGTTCAAATAGAAATGTGAAAGTCCTCAGGACATGCTAAAAAACCAAGTAGTTTAATGTTTACCTGAATGACCTGAAGCACACATGTACCTTTGAGTGAGGATTAACTAATACCTTACCAAGGAGCTCCACCTCACACTTGGGTGGCACTTCTGCTTTCAGCCAAACAGTGCTAAAATGCCTGCTATTCCAGAGCATGGGCAGTCGCTCTTCTTGCTAGGATCAAAGGTGACATTCTGTGACAGCAGTGATGCAGATTCTGTGTGCAGCAGAAGTATGCATTTTTAAACAAAAATTTTTCAGAAACTAAAACTGAAATACTGTTAGTTAATTAATTAATAAAACTGTTCTGGAAAGCCAGGGAGCAGAATCTATAAAATGAGATTTGTAGGAAGTTATAAATTACTCAGCATAATGAATTACATGCACCTTATCAAAGCACCTGATACAGAAGACAGTTCCTGTCTGTAAGCGTGCGAGCTAAAGCGGCTCGCATGAATCATCTGCCAAATTATTTTGAACAAGCCTTTCTGCAAAATCTCTGCCCATCCAACTGTGATGTGTTAATTTATTATGCTCTATATAATTACATTCTCATAAATGTGGCATACTGTTTTCACAGAACCAACTATTTTGTAGGCAATTAGTGGGCAGTACTAATGAACTACTGACTCCCCATTCTGCTGTATAAGACACTCAACCAAAAAACACCTTTCACCATCAAGTTACATTGACTTCATTTATCTCTCACTTCATTAGAGAAGTCTCTCACTACCTATAGAAATTCAATCTTGCCTGTTTTGGTGTCCTCCAGTGGCAGACCTGTTTTTTCTAGAATGAAATTTAGGAAAGCAAAAAATATCCGTTCTACCAAGAACTATCGCTGCAGTGACATTCTGGGAAATTTCTTCTAAAAGTAATTTTAGAAGACACAGATTCTATGAGCTTGATTGTAATATTTTGAATGTCATAGAAATATGAGAATTATTAAATCAAACCATCACCCCCCAAAGCCCAAACCAAACCTATGGCACAAAAGATATAATATGAAAATGAAACACAGAGGCAAGAAAATCAAAGGAGTAATAAATATTTTTGGAAAGATGGATCAGCTATATTGCTGCCATCCTGGAAGCTCTTTTGAATCCTTAGGTTTCATCAGGAGAACATCGAGCAATATCCTGTGCAAGTACCAGCCTTAAAAATCTATATTAACAATATAATTATTTTGCTATAAACAACAAGTATATTAACTGAATGTTTTCGGGGTTCCTTGACAAAATGGCTGCAGTCAACAGCAACATCTTGAGTATTGCAGGGCAAATTAGAAAGGCATGGATTCCATCATGTGCTCCACTCACTCCTTCTGGAGTGGAAACAAAAACAGGCTCAGAATTGGGTCTTTGAGTAAGGACAAGACAGGGTGACCTGCCCTTTTTTGCTTCTGCTTATCTTTAGCAGGCTTTGCCTCAGTTTAACTCAAAACATTACTTTTATAATATACAAGTTATCCAAAATCACTGGAGCTCAGTGAAAAGGCAGAAAAGGCAGAAAAGGCAGAAAAGCTCCTGCCAGCATCCAGCTCTGGTTTTAAAACCTGACTGCTTTATAATATCCTACCATCAACACGCCACGTCTAGCCTGGAGTTTTAATACAATGTAATTAGAGTAGGCTGGCAAGCACTTTCAAAGAAACATAATTTTATATGTTAAATAGGTTGAAGCCTGGGAGCCAACAATACTGTTTGGTATGGACAGGAATGCAGTCAAATCATGTGAGAACGATGGCTGGGAATCTGGCAAAGGAACCTATTTTCCTCTCACCACCCACCACTTCTTTCAGAAGGTTTATTAAGTGATCACAAGGCTTTCCTTTTAACATTAATAGGAATACTACTTGTAAATATTTACATGGGCCAGACCTGTGTTCAGACAAAGTGCCTGCAGGATGACATCAATTAGTAGCATCTTTCCTGGGAGACGCCTTGTGTGTGCAAAGTTAGGGCCTGGTGAAAAATGTTAGTTGTGGGCCAGGTCAAATAATGGGGCTGATTAAAATGGAGCTATGTGTTAAACCAACAAAACAGACCCAATCTCCCACGGAGGCTGGTAGTTTGTTTGAGCTTCTGGGGAGCTCTAAGAAGTTTTCTCTCATAAAATTACAGACTGACAGGAAATTGAAAATTTTCTCACAGCTACAAGCTCAGCACCAAGAAGAAGCATCTGGAATCAGGCTCATGTGTCATGTAAAACCAGCTCTTGTCTCTTTTGCTGCTGCTTCACTTTGTTTGTAGCCCAAGCAAAAGCACTGTACCTGTCAGCATTACTCTTTCTTCTATTATTGCACCACAGAGTTTCAGATTTTATATTGCTCTCTTCAGCAACCTCCTTTCTCTTCAGCAGACTGGACTTGTAATTTAATCCAATTTCCATATACTGGAGTATAATATTAAATGGTAATTTTAGAAGGATAAAACATTACTTTTAGTCAAAGACTGAGAAACTTTCAGGAGAAGCAGACCTCAACATTTTGTAGCAAACCATAACAGTAACATCAAATCACAGTACTGTGCCTTCTTGTATTGAGTTGTTGCACGCAGATCCAATCCCCAAAGCCCAGTTGGCTGCTTTGGTTTTCTTTCACCTGTCCTGACAATGGAAATTAAAACCACCCCTGATTCAACCATATAACATTTTATTTAGGAGTATATATTGAGATCCTGACTTGAAAAAAATCCAATTCTGTTACATATTGCACATTGCCAAATACTTTACAAAGAATGTTTAAAAAACGTGTTGTTTATTGCATGCATATTTTTTTCAAGAAATACTGAAATTATCAAATTATTTCACTTGATTTTTAAAGGACAGGTTAAAAAATTTGTTGTCTAACCACTTTTGCACATAGGTCATTCCATAATGTTCCTTTTCAGAATTTCTCACACCTTCCTTTAAAGAAAATCCTTCTCTGAAATATATCAAGATGCCAAAAATAAAAATCCAATCCTTTAAGTCACTGTCTGAGTTCCTGCTCTTTTTCAGTCTCTTGCAAATGTAAAACCATTGCATTATTGCCTGTCTTCATTATGATCTCAACCATTTCTTTAATAAAATGGTAGGAATAGGCCAGAGCATCATAAATCACAGAACAAACCATTGGTAGGAACCACTTTTTTCTCCCTTCCTGCTTCCACTCTATTCATATCTTATGCATTCCTTCTTTGCTTTTATCCCTTCTGAGCCCTGGATTAAATGGGTTGTATACTATTTTGCTAAGTACAGGATGGCACA